AGCAGTTTCGACAGAGTGACCAGCGCGGAATCCAGACTGAAGGGGGTCAAGCAGAGAGTTGGATTCAAGAAAGTCTGTCAATCTGGCGTAGACAACTCTCTCGAGGATCTTGGAGGCAAATGGCAGTAGCGAGATAGGGCGGTAGTTGGATGGGGAGTTGGGATCGAGGTTGGGCTTTTTCAGAATTGGGGTTACGGTTGCATGTTTGAAGGCAGAGGGAAATGTGCCAGAGGAAAGGGAGAGATTGAAAATGTTAGCGAGAGGAAGAGCAAGAGAGGGAGACAAAGTGCGGATGAGATGCGAGGGAATAGGATCGAGGGAGCAGGTGGTGGGGCGGGAGGACAGGAGCAGAGCAGAAACCTCTTGTGCTGTAGCAGGTGCAAATGAGCTTAGGATGGCAGGGGGAGTGGGGTTGGGTGATGTATTGATACTGGTTGGAGAAAGATTAGAGATCTCTTTCCTGATTGTAGAGATCTTCTCAGTGAAATGAGATGCAAAGTTTGTGGCGGACAAGGTGGTGGAAGGAGGGGGAGTCACAGGGCGAAGAAGTGCATCAAAAGTGTGAAACAGGTGTTTGGGTTGGTGGGACAGTGTGCTTATGAGGGTGTTGAAGTAGCTTACTTTTGCAGAGGAAAGAGCCATGCTGTAGGAGCGCAGCATAAATTTATAGTGGACAAAGTCAGATGCAAAGTGAGACTTTCTCCAGCAGCGTTCAGCAGTTCTGGAACATTTTTGGAGGTAACGGGTCAGCTTGGTGTGCCAGGGTTGTAGTTGGGGGCGCTTGCTGCGTTTAACTGTAGGAGGTGCCATGATGTCAAGTTGAGAGGAGAGAGTGGAGTTGTAGAGTGAGGTTGCAGAGTTAGGGCAGTTGTGATTTGAGATGGGTAAAAGGAGTGTTTGGAGTTTAGTGGAGAAGTGCTGGAGATCAAGAGAGTTGAGGTTTCTGCGAGGTTGGAGAGTGGACGGTGGTGAGATTTTGGTATGGGGTATGCAGATGTTAAATGTTAGCAGATGGTGGTCAGACAAAGGAAATGGAGCAGTGGCGAGATCAGAGGTAGTACAGAGATTGGTGAAGAGTGTTTCCTGCAGTGTGAGTTGCTGAGGAAGAAATCTGTGTGAGTCCAAAGGAGGAGGTTACAGAGAGCAGACGAGAGGCATCAGGGCAATTGAGCTTGTTGATAGGGATATTGAAGTCCCCAAGTATGAGAGAGGGAGTGCTAGAGGAAAGAAAGTGGGGTAACCAGGAGTAAAAGTGTTCAATGAATAGTTTAGGGTGACCGGGGGGGCGATAGATGATGGCAATTCTTAAAGGAGTGGGCTTAAAAAGGCGTACAGTGTGAACTTCAAAGGAAGTAAAGGATAGGGCAGGGGCAGGGAGGATAGGTTGAAAGGTACATTGAGGGGAGAGAAGGATGCCGACACCACCTCCTTTACAGTCAAGTCTAGGAGTATGGGAGAACTGTAGACCACCGAAACATAAAGAAGCAGGAGTAGCGGTATCGGATGGAGATAGCCAGGTCTCAGTGAGTTCCAGTATTGTGAGAGAGTTAGAGATGAGGAGGTCATGTATTGCTGTAGATTTGATATTACTACAAATGGAGCAAGCATTCACACTGAATTTTGGTAGAGGAGGATAGACTGCAGGGTATTTGGAGGAGGTTTGCATGGTTTCTGGTTATTTTAGTGTGAGCAGATGAGGTGAGGGGCCCTGGGTTGGGAGAGATGTCACAGCTTGCAGAACCTGCAGTTATCTTGGCAGCAGCTGTTACAAGCCCTCCCCTTCTAACCTTGCCCATCTTTTCTGTAGCTGTTCAATCACAGACAATGCAGCTCAATGAGAAGACTTTGCAAGGAGCAAGTGCTGCCTCCTGAGTTTACCTGCACTAAGCTAAACATCAAGGAATTAACAGGACCTGTTGTTTGTGATTGACAGCCAGGGGGTGAAACCAGGTTAATTTATACAAGTGTCGATTTCTATTTAAATCTGGACTTTTTGCAAAATGAGAAAAATAGGACACTGGACTGTCACTCTAATTTTATCAAAGCAACACTTGATTCACCTGCTTCATATGCTAAGCTGCAAAGCAAATTAGTTTTCCAGCATCTTTTATCATAGAGATGTGGACGTATTGAGCAGTGTTTATTGCACGGCCGTCTCACTGTGTAAGTATCCCTATAATAGATCACCCTGTGCTGTCTAATGTACTGTTAATGCCTAAACATGACAATAGGTGTATTAACCATATGGGTTCCAAAGCTCATTAGGATCATATTAGGATCAGAAAGTGAAATGAGCAGCAATTTTTCACATTTTCAAATAGTTTTCAAAATACTAGACTGATAGAAAACTAATGGATCATAAATACATGTTATACACAGTTGGAATCAATACTAGCTGCCATGAATTGTAACTTAACTGAGATTCTTTACTGTTTAAACACGTTAAGCTTTTTAGTTATTACTGAGTGTTACTTACTGATATCGGCAGTTTTGTATGATGTTCTTTTTGGCATGGCTAGGTGGGATCCATCTAAACTTGCTGTAAGCTGGGTTGTAATGTGTGTGTCATGGAATTACAAGTCTCCTACATCCCCTTTATAGAAAATAATCTACGTTCACAGCATGAACTTGGCCCACCTTAATTGTTCTGGGGTCCACTGTATTGATATTGTGAGATCAGAGAGGACATGTCTGTTGGACTGTGGATGGGGAATGTGTGTGATAATAATATTACATATTAAATAAGAATGATTGATTGATCACTATTGAGCAAATCAAACTATTATAGCTAGTCAAGATGGTGCCGGTACACAGTACTGAAAATGTTAATAACCACAAAACACAGCCATGCATAGCTTCACGAGATAGTTATGAGAACAGAGCTAGCTTTTTAGATAGTTATGAGAACAGAGCTAGTTTTTTAGATAGTTATGAGAACAGATATAATTAACTGCACAGATCTGGCATGGCATTGTTGTGGGACTGAACAGTCTGGCCAACTGCAAGTCCCATTAAATGCTTTTTGTAAGGTCTTTGCTGGGCTGCACTGATAGGAAGATTTGGTGGAAAAGTACAGACTATTAATAACTTATAAAAGATGAGAAAATTTGGCACTTATTGCTGTTTCTGCTGATTTTCCAGTAAGAGATGGTCCCCTTCAAGCCTGACTGCCAGTTCTCTCAGTCGAGTGCAGCAAGTCTTTCTTATGGTGATGTATTAAGCTGTTTTTATTAAGCAGTTTCTTTGAGCTGTTCCGTTAAGCTGAATGATTATTAAGTCTTTGTTAGTCAATAATGTTTGTATTGATTTTTCACAAGTACTTGATGTCAGTGTCTTTCCCTTTCTCGAATACTCAATTCACCCATCTCGAATAGGGTTTTGGTGCCCACCAATATCTTTAAAAACCTTAGGGTAATTGATTATTGTTTTTTTGATATTGGCGCTTCATGAATTTAATGATTAGGCACAACAATGTGGTAGAGTCTTTACTGAAGAAGTTGTAACAACTAATTAAAAAGGTGCTGCAAGTGAAAGTTGAAAGGGTGGTTTCAAGGAAATGTATTATTTTGCAGAATAGGGTGTTGCAGTGCCATCTGTAATTTTAATTGGGCCATTGGCAAGTCTCTGCTTTGGAGACTGTTTCCCAACCTGACTACACATAGAAAACAACATACTAAATGCAAACACTAAAACTAATTCACTCTTCACTCTGTCACACACCCACAGAAAAAAATCATATTATCACACCCTTCCCTATCACACCACTCTCACACATACATCCCACTCAGCATTACTTCACCAATCTCAAATACATGCTCTACCATGTTATTGTTTAAAAAATGGCAAGGGAGATAGAGGAGCAGACAGAAGAAAAACAAGTCACAAATCTAGAAACAGACTATTATGTAGTATGTGTTATGTAGATATAGAATGTAATTGCCTAATCATAGATGAAAACATGGAACTCTTTGGAGATATTAGGACATCCCAGGAAATTAGGCATATTCTTGGAATTAACCCAAAATAGTAAACAGCGCTAAAAAAATGATAATATAAAGTATAGCACTTGAGATGATAGAAATTTTGGAAATCAGCAGCAATCACGCAAATACGTGTTAAAAATAGGCCAATAACCAAAAACTGGTGTTGCACTAGAATATTACTTTGCCTATATGGTTAGTGTATATCTCATCAGGAACATTTCATTAAACATATCTGAAAAGATAAATATACAGACAATATAGTGCAGACCATCTGATTTCAAATATTCTTATAGTGCACACTTGTATAAAAAAATTGTGAGTTCACACTCACATTTCCCAGAGCCTGATAAACCCTGGCTCTGGGTGGGATAAGCTCCTATGGAGAGGGAAATATTCCCACAATCTGGTGTCCCAAAAACCTTGTCTCTGTTGATCAGAGAGACACTCCCTCTGCCTCTTCCCACCCCCACCCCCTGCTTTTTACTCTAGTCCCACATATTTAGAGAGACTGGAGTTTAAAGGACTTTCTGAAAGGCTATTATTTTGCCTGATAAAATATTTTTACTTAAAGGAACACTATAGTGCTAGGAATATAGAACTGTACATTGCAGGGTTAAGGGGACAGAGGCAGTGCACTCAGTCCACTTAAATTAAATGAAGTGTACTGGGTGCCTATAGTGTCCCTTTAAGTATTGTTGCACTAAGCAGCTGCCTTGAGTTAAATATGGCTCTGGTTTTAATGAAACATTGTTATTATGAGGGGGATTAAGTTAAAGTTGGAGTTTGGTCTGATAGCAAGCTCTTCAGGAGAGTCTTACATTATATATCATAGAAGAAATAAATCATTTTGTAAATCTATTAATACTAAAACGGAATGGTGCAATAATAATATTCATGTAAACTGAAGTTTATTTTAATATTGTTTATTATAACACAGTAATTAGATTTGGGTCAAGTAGTAGACGGTAAAAAAAAAAAATAACTGTGAAGAGAAACACGCATATTTCACAAGGGATTTTAATTAGCCGCAACGGTGCTCTGGATCCAGGAATTGAAGTTGCAGACCTTGGTGTAGACTCCGGGGTAGTTCCTCTGAGCGCAGCCATATCCCCAGGATACAACACCCTGGAGTTGACCATTACAGATCACGGGTCCACCAGAGTCACCCTGAGGGCAGATGGAAAATGTTAATTTTGTATCAAACACTTTAACTTTAATAGCCTATGGTAGATAAAATCTAAACTTATCAATTCAATATGTGTTTGAAAATTAGCTATAATTAAGAAAACATGAAAACATTTAAATAATCATAAAAAAAATATATGAAATTAAATAATACTACTAGCATGTTTTATTCTCTGAATGAGCCTATATGACTTCCATAGAAAAACAAAATTGGGTGATGTATAGGTTTTGCCAAATTCCTTAGTAAGTAAATGTGTACATATTTGATTAATCAACCAAACAGCGGAGAACCATTTTTCACAGATTAAATTCATACAGGTAAACTGAACCACATAGTAAAATCAATTAACGACTTCACTCCCATAATCGAGTATAAATGTTTTTACTTTCATGTATTTTTCAAAACGAAATTTAGTCCATAAAGTCTCCCTCATTTATACTCAATGGATGCTCACTAATCTGTAAAGGAACTGATTTATCTGCCAAAGCCACTAGTCACTGATTTAATACCTGCTGAAAATATAAGCCCACCTCCTATTTCCAAACAGTAAAGAGAGTTTTAATGGGTCACATCATTCCTACAGTCAGGGTGGGTGAGCAGTGAATGGGCTCTGTCATTTCACTGTTAGCATTACTTTAGCCCTCCAGGGACTTGGATAAAAAATATAAGTACTTTTAAAGTTTGTCTGAAAAATAATCTATACACAAAAATTGCTGCTTTGCGTATATGTTGATATATGCTAGCTATTCATCCGTTGCTTTAAAATCAACCATTATAAAAAAAAAAAATTCTAATATTTTATTCATGCCAGCTATACTTCTAGATTGGCTATTGTGATCTAAAGTTTTAAATCCTTTTTGAATTCCAATAAATATGAAAAAGGTATAAAAAAGGCACTTCAGTATATTCCAATGTATATCAGTGCAAATGTGAAAATATTGATTAAGCTGCTGTGCACTGTTGAATGTTACATTAAAACACTAATAAAAACGTATCAAAATATAATCACTTAGTGCAGTACTTTAAGCAAACTTTATGTCGTTAATAATCTCATATGTTATATCTAGACTGCACAAATCCTAGACATGTGAATATATGGATGAATTAATTAATTGGCTAGGCAAATTAAAATGCATCAATTAATTTGTCCATAGATTGACAGGCATTTCATTCGTCAATCTTATGCTCTTATTGACTTACACAAAATTCTAACCCATAGTCATACATGTAATGTTTTCCCTCAATATGCTTTTATTCACTTTATTTACCATTCCCCCTATTAACTTCACGTATCATTACTCACCGAATAAAAATAAAATGTATCAATAACCCATTGCTTGTCAAGACTATTTATTCTGAATACTAAGTAGCAGCTACTTTCAAACTATTAATCAGAATTGCTAATCATGAGTAGAATTGGGTAAGCCAAAGATAGTGTTTCATAATACCAGAAAGAGCAGGATAACTTACCTGGCAGGAATCCTTGCCACCTTCGATGTATCCAACACAGATCATGTTGCTGGTGATCTCTCCAGGGTAGGCATTACTGCACTGGCTATCAGTCAGAATGGGGGCATTCAGGCACTGCAGATCATTAGGGTAATTGGCTGCAAAAAAAAAACAAATAGCAGATTCAAGTGAACTGTCTAAAAATAGAAACAGTGCAATAGCACGCAGTGAGATCAATACTACATGTAATAAAACCTTATAATTACCTATCAGAAGTATTATTGATGACTTTAATGTAATCTCTTTAATTATTCATTTATACAATCATAATATTGCAATAAGTTTAGTTTTATTTTTGTATTTATGTCTTTTTCATTACAGGGACAGCTTTCAGTTACAGTTCTATGAAGCTCCTATGAGTAATTTGCTACAAATAACGCTTAGTAGATTAACCCCTTCACGACCGAGGACGGTTCAGGACCGTCATCGGCATTTTTGCCTTGCCGACCGATGACGGTCCTGAACCATCCTAACGGTCAGAAGTACTTACCTGCGGCGATCAGCGTTGCTCCGGTTGTGGGGAGACTGCCTGCAGCCCAGACAGTCTCCCCACACTGAATTAGGACCCCTGTGGCCATGTGATCGCTCAACAGAGCGATCACATGGTCACAATAGGTGTCCATGCGTCTGCCTGCAGGGGGACTGCCTGTGCTGACAGGCAGTCTCCCTGCTAGTGTAAAAAAAAATAAAAAAAAAATGAAGTTAGTGTTAATAAAAAAAAAAAAATTATATATGTGATATATATAATGCCATGCTAAGTGTATTTTTATATTAATATGTACTTATATTAATATAAAAATACACTTATAATTAAATTATACACGTATATATAATATATATAATAACTATATATTGTATATATATATTATTATAAAATATAAATAATAAGTAATTTAAATTAAATAATTTTTTTAAATAATAATAAAAAATGTAAAAAAATTATATATCTATATGAAATTTTATTCTAACTGTATTTTAAAATTAATAAATATATATATATTTATATCAAAATACACTTAGAATGAATTTGTATATATATCTATGTATATATAAATAAATAAAAATAATACGAAATATACATATGTCCATATACAAAATTACATAAATAATTATATAAATATACACGTAGACTTCAAATATATAAATATGCATATATATTTAAATTCTACGTGCGTATTTATGTAATATTTTACATAATTAAGTAATTTTATTGATTGCAATTTGAGGGACCTGCCTGCCAACCCAGGCCGAAAGTCCAGAGAATTTAATTTGCTAGCACTGTATTTTACCCTGTAACGTTCTACGACACCCTAAAACCTGTACATGGGGGTACTGTTTTACTCGGGAGACTTCGCTGAACACAAATATTAGTGATTCAAAACAGTAAAACATATCACAGCGATGATATTGTCAGTGAAAGTGACTTTTTTTGCATTTTTCACACACAAACAGCACTTTTACTGATGATATAATTGTTGTGATACGTTTTCCAGTTTTTAAACACTAATATTTGTGTTCAGCGATGTCTCCTGAGTAAAACAGTACCCCCCATGTACAGGTTTTATAGCATTTTTGAAAGTTACAAGGTCAAATATATGGGTCAAATATTTTTACATTGAAAATGGCCAGGTTGGTTACGTTGCCTTTGAGAGCGTATGGTAGCCCAGGAATGAGAATTACCCCCATGATGGCATACCATTTGCAAAAGAAGACAACCCAAGGTATTGCAAATGGGGTATGTCCAGTCTTTTTTAGTAACCACTTGGTCACAAACACTGGCCAAAATTAGCGTTCAATTTAGTTTTTTTACTTTTTTCACACACAAACAAATATGAATGCTTACTTTGGCCAGTGTTTTCGACTAAGTGGCTACTAAAAAAGACTGGACATAACCCATATTGAATACCCTGGGTTGTCTACTTTAAAAAAAATATGTACATGTGGGGTGTTATTCAGAGATTCATGACAGATAATAGTGTTACAATGTCACTATTGATAAATTAAAAAAATGTATGTTTTGAAACCGCAATATCCTACTTGTACCTATAGCCCTATAACATGCAAAAAAAAGCAAAAAAGCACGTAAACACTGGGTATTTTTAAACTCAGGACAAAATTTCGAATCTATTTAGCAGTTTTTTTCATTCGCTTTTGTAGATGAGTAAAAGATTTTTCAAGTAAAAGTAAAAAAACATGTATTTTTTCAATTTTTCATCAGATTTTTGTATTTTTTTTAAATTAAAATACATGAGATTATATAAATAATGGTATGTAAAGAAAGCCCCTTTTGTCCTGAAAAAACAATATATAATTTGTATGGGAACAGTAAATGAGAAAGCGGAAAATTACAGCCAAACACAAACACCACAAAAGTGTAAAAATATGCCTGGTCGCAAATGTACAACATCGCAAAAACAGTCCAGTCCTTAAGGGGTTAAAGAAAATCTGATCTAAAAAAACACAGAGCAACAGTCTGCTGTAAAATCGTGTTTCCACTGCAAACCGTGTAATGCGCCTTTAAGATTACAGTTTAAGGGATATCCACTTAACTAACTGACTTACTAATGAGTAAAGGTGTTATGAGGTTAACAACCACAAAATAGTATACATTTTAGATAGAGAAGTAATGAGAGCAGACATATGAATGAAAACTGTTTGAAAGACTAGGTAATTATCTTAAATGAATACAAACTTAGTGGGGCAGCAAAGCATGTTTTTTGCAGGAAGATCACGTCAAACTAATCTGAATGTTTTCCCTGACTATGTAACTAAATTGATAGACCAGGATGAAGTAGCAGAGGCACCCCATCTACATTTTAGCTTAGTATTTGACGCTGTCCAAATTAACCCTCTTTAAAAACTGGATCACATTGGACTAGATTTGATAAGCTTTGTTAAGTCAATTTAATGCTGGCATAAAAGGGACACTATAGTCACCAGGACAACTACAGCATAATGCAGTTGTTCTGGTGTCTATACCATGTCCCTGCAGGCTTTTGTTGCAAACACTGCCTTTTTCAGAGGCAGCCACTAGAGGTGCTTCCTGGGTCAATGCTGCAAAGTGCAGCACATAATGTTCAGCATCTCCATGCTGAATATTCTTCGTATTAAACGTATGTAGAATATTGTGTAAAGTTCTGGAGATCATATATTTCTAGAAGTATATAAATAATTTTGAAGGTGTTAAAGCTACTACTCAGTGCACAGTTTAAACTATAAAACGTATCACTTGATGGCCTAATTATGTATAAATTAGTCTCTAAGCCTTTGAGAATTGAAGAGGGGGTGGGGGGGGGGGGGTACGAGTGAAAGGAAAGAAACCTTCAAGTATATTAACTGAATTAATAAAGTTAAGACTGAAAGTATTTTCAAAGAAAGAGTAACATCAGAAAAAAATGTTCATGACTTCCTGTTGGATGATGACAGGTTAAGGGGTGATGCATTCCAACAGAGGTGGTAACAAATTCTGTAAAGGTATGCAGACATGCATGGGGTAGGTGAAAGGATATTCTAAGAACTAATTAAGTAGTTTAACCCCTTAAGGACACATGACATGTGTGACATGTCATGATTCCCTTTTATTCCAGCGGTTTGGTCCTTAAGGGGTTAATATTCACATTTAATGTAGTCAGGGTGAATTTGATTTTGACTTGTATCTGTTATTAAAGTCATCCACCTATTTAGCAGCTGAGAGCATACCAATTCACATTATTAAGACCCTAACCTCTTTGTGACAGTACATTTACTGTATCTAAGTTTCAAATGTAGTTATTTAAAAGAAAATTAACTTTTGACTTACTTCCACTGCTGAGTGTATTTCCCCATCCAGCAATCAGACAGCTAGTACCAGCGGCGGCACAGCCAGAGGGTAGAGCCACAGAGTTCACAAAGGAATTGAAGGTGGCAGGAGAGGCCAGCTTGATCAACATGATGTCATTGTCCAGGGTCCAGGAGTTATAGCTACCATGTCTGATGACCCTGGAAGAGCTGATGAACTGCTCAGTGCCCTCATTTACGGCAATGTTATGCTCTCCCAGTCTGACCTGAACACTCCTGTATGGAGAATGGTAGTTTAGTCAGTAAAAAAAGGATTGATGGGGTCCGTGCTAATGAGGACTTTTGGTTCGCTGCCCATTTCTTAAGATAATGTCTGGGTCTTTTGCTTTTAAAATATATAGGTTTTTTTCTGTATTGACTTTTGAAACGCAAGTTTATGTAGCAGCAATTTCGCAATGTAATATAATTATTATGTTTGAGAATGAATTCAGAAGAAGAATTTTGTTATTTAGCCACAGTGTACCGTAGTCACATCCTTTTAGCCCCAGATGAGCCCCCTGTGTCATTGCAAAGTATAAGACTGAATGATTGTACTTACGCCTTGTAGCAGTGAGCAGCAGACACTACCCACAGACTGTTAATCAGAGTACCTCCACAGAAATGGTAGCCAGAGTTCAGGGATACAATGTATGGGACAGAGTTCTTGGCACAAGCGTAGCCTCCAACAATTTTATCATCATCAAATGCAGCTGTGAGAGAACAGAAATTAAACAGTGCAATAGCAGGCAGAAGTAATATATATAGCTAAACACAAATGCACACACCAGTCAAGCCACGAGACTTGCTTTTCCCACAGAATAGCTCAATTTAACAGTGCTCTCACTACTGCAAGGGATTCTGTGTAGGTGTATGCAAATGAGCTCAACAAAGAACCACATTTTTGCCTCATAATTCCACTTTATACAAGGATTCCTTGGAGTATGTGTCTGCTGTATAAAACAGCTTTGAAACACAACTCAGGAATAGGAGCAAAGCCAGTTAACCACCCATGGACAGCTGTTTCGTTGTTAATGCAACTTATCAGCATGAGGTTGGTTTCTGGCTTGCTATGGAGGCTTGTCATTACTTGTAAAGTAATACACTGAATTCTTTCATCCAGAGGGTGCTCTCGTCATTTCTTATATTATTATATTGTTTTATATATATATATATATATTTATATATATATATATATATATATATATATCAATGCTTTTCCCCTTACTAAAATAACAGACTCATTACTATACATGGACTAGGTAGTTAGGGCAACCTCCCAAGAAGACACTCACCAGCAGCTCCAAGGAGCATACAGATCAGAAGAAACTTCATGATGTAGACTGGTCCAGAATACAACTTTACATTGACATGGCTAGTATTTATACTTAAATCCCTCTCAAGTCGAGCCAAGTTCAACCTATTTTCCAGAAACCAAATGGAAAATTAAATTTGATAAATGTATGTGTATAGTATGGATAAAAGTCCTTATCACTGACCTTGCTCTTGTCTTGTTTCATTAACTTAAAGCTATTTTTTTGTGTTGACTCCAGGTTAAAGGTAACATTTACCTATTTTAACCTAAGCAGCTGGGCTGGATCTTGATGAGTGCAGGAGGTTTACTGCACCTGGCATTGTGCCAATTAGATAGGATGTCTCACCAACATCAGAGACATATGTGTCTGATCCTGGCATACCGGATAGCAGGGCTGATGCTACCATGAGGCAGCACTGGCAACTGCCTATCTACTTCACACACACATACAGGCCTCTACACACACTACACCACAAACATCCAATCAAGACACACTACACCCAACAAGACTGCCCCTATAACCTCATAGTAAAACGCTTATCTTCCCACAATACTGCCCCTATACACCCACACTAAAGCAGCTATCAATTCCACAAGCAGTGTTCCCTTTCAACCCTAATTTTTTTTTTATAAGTTTAACACTGTGACTGTGCCCCACTGCTTACCTGGTACTCTGTTGCAAAATCTCTCCCTCCACTCTACAAGGCACAGTGCCCGTTCTGAGCTCCTAGATCAATCATGCGGCAGGTAGGTTCAGTGTCAAATACGTGGGGTATGGCTGGATTGGGAAATAAAATCAGCCCTGGAAAAGCCCCCAAAATACCAGTCCAATAATGCATTGCAGCAGCATAGTGTGCAGATACAGAGGTGGAAAATATAACTTAAAATTGAAAACTATTTTTCAAATGTAATAGAACGCATTCATGAGGCTTTACAATAGACAAAAGAGCAGCTTTTTATTATTTCAAAAGTTTTTATTGTTTTTCCAATATAAAACAACATGGCAGGTGGTACAGAAGAAATTGAGGGGGATAGGGTCACTAACATTTATACAATAAATATCCTCAATGACAGGTGACTCAAAATGGTACAGTACTTATAAATAGGTACCACTGGTGGTTATGGTGGTTAACTACAAGTTAGTGGTGTTGCTCTCCCTGATGTGTCAAACATACCCCACTTTTATTCAGTGTTTCCACAGACAGGTCAGTCGGTACATGAGCAGGAATCTGTATGCCTGTCCTCTGTATTAAACACAACAGACATAGGTAGGAGAACATCATACTGCAGTGAAAAAATACTAGCTGGTTTTAATACATTATCTTGTTAACAGATCCTAGGGGTCCAGATCTCCATTTCTCCCAAATCTGCCTTGTTTCCTGTGAAGCTCGACAAAGGGGGAAAGTCACTCTAAAGGAGTATTCGCAGATACTTTGTGTATCCAGATCTTTAATTATCTCGAGGACTTTTGTTGGGTGGGCGTACTTCCAGGCTCTCGCTATGTGGTGTTGTGCAGTTTAGATAGTTTGCAGTATAACTTTCTGTTCTGATTTAGGGATGTGGGGAGGGAGGTGCAGTAGAAGGTATGTAATAGGCAAAAATCCCAGAGAACAGTCTACTACTCCCGTTATGAGTTTGTGTATTTTTTTCCAGAATGCATAGATAGGTGCAAATTGCCACCATATATGATACATGGAACCTTCTTGGTCACCACATCACCAGCAGGTTGGAGGAGTGTCCGGGTATATTATATGTAATCTGGTGGGTACCAAATACCACCTGTATAGTACTTTATGTTGTGGCTCTCTATGTGTGGAGGATTTGATCAGACCTGTTGAGGCCAAAATCATCTGATCACATTGTATGGGCAATGTAGAGCACTGGAGATCACCCTCCCATTTTTTGGCATACTTGGAAGCTGAGAAAGGCATATAGTCTAATATTGATCTATAACACATGGAAATCTGTTTACAACCAACTGGAAGTTTCTTGTTTATACATAGTTGTTCCCATACAGTTATCTGGTCCGTGGAAACACTAAACTGGGCACCCTGCCTCTGAATACTAGCAAGTTACGATTTCAATTTAATGTACGAATAATGAGATGTAGTAGGTAGTGCATATTTGGTCACTAACGTGGGATAATCTGGTAGGGCAGTCCCCTGGAAAAGGTGTTATAGGTGTGTGACTCCTCTTTTCTGCCATGGCATGGAATTGAACGTAGGGATACAGTACTGCAAGGCTTTGATTGGGGTCGCTAAGGAGATGCCTGAGGTGCTACTAAAAATAGATATAAGTTTGTCCCATACATGTAGGACTAGTTGGGTTTGAGCAGGGAGTTGATGCAACAGTGGTCTGTGTTGTTTGGGCAACCACATAACATGACTAAGTTCGTGGAGTTGAAAGAGGGACCTTTCTAAAAGTTCCCATTGTGGGCAAGGACTGTCCACTATTGGAGGTATAACCGCAGTTAGAACAGGAGCGCTATAGTAGGTAAGTGTATTGGGTAGGGCCAGACAACCCTTTTTCAGCGTAGCTTGCAAGAAAGGAATAGGGGTGACCATGACCATTTCTGTAGAAGTTGGTGACATGCATTCTATACCAAGATATAGTTTGCGGAATACAGGGCAGTAGGGTTTTTAGTGACAGATAATCCCAAATACTTAATATATTCTGATCTCCAATCAAACTGATCTTACAAAAGTAAAGTCTCCACACAGAATTAGTCCCCCTTCTTTGATTGTATCTATTTTACGCAATAAAAATTGAAGGAAATGTTTAGAGTCTGAGTTTGGAAAATATGCAGAGGCTAACATGTATTTCACATTATTAAACAATCCCACTAGTATAACATATCTGCCCTGCGGGTCTATAATTTGCTGCTGGAGCGTAAAGGCAGTGTCTCTGTGTATAAAGATGGATACTCCTTTTGATGTATTCTCAGAAATGGCATGAAATTGAATGGGAAAATAGTTATTATAAACGGCAGGTGTTCTGGACTGTGCATGTCTCTTGGATGCACGCTATGTAGTGATGTCCCGAACAGTTCGCTGAATGGTTCGCCGCGGACGGCAAACATATGCGGTAAACTTTGACCCTGTACCTCACAGTCAGCAGACACATTCCAGCCAATCAGCAGCAGACCCTCCCTCCCAGACCCTCCCACCTCCTGGACAGCATCCATTTTACATTCATTGTGAAGCTGCATTCTTAGTGAGCTGTCCAGAAGGTGGAAGGGTCTGGGAGGGAGGGTCTGCTGCTGACTGGCTGGAATGTGTCTGCTGACTGTGAGGTACAGGGTCAAAGTTTACCGCATATGTTCAACGTCCGCGGCGAACCGTTCAGCAAAACGTTCGGGACATCATTAACGCTATGTCTATCCCATTTTTCTTCAGGTCACTAAGGAGTAGCCTCCTTTTTCCCGGAGAGTTGAGGCGCTTTACATTAAGTGTAACTAGTTTCATATAGATTTATGGAATGTCGGGTTGCCATTGAAGTAATTTAGGCGTGTGCATTTTCTGTGCCTAAGTTACTTCAAACCCACTGTACCCAAGTATGGGAAAAGGGTAGTGAAACCTAGTACAAAAAAAACAAAAAAATGCAAAATACAAAACTAACATACAACCAGTATCTGGTATATGCTCATCCATCCTGAGCCGTCCTGTGCCATGGTGACACCAGGCACATTGGTGGGTTGGTAGTGGTGGTGGTCATCTCCATCAATGGAAACTTAACCTTGGTGGTGAGAGAGCATTTGTGTTGCAACATGTGTCAGAACAGAGCCTCAAGGGTAGCACAGGTTCTCTATTATTAAACTAAAACAGCAGCATAACCTCTTTTTTTTATTATGAAAAACTCATACATCAGTCTGTCTCTCTAAGGTTATCGAGATACTATCAAACCTCAGAGCTATCAGTAAGTGTGCTTGTCAGTATTTTATCAATTTGAAAAACACAGCACATTCACATAGGGCAAAGTCATGATCTAGCCACATCTATCTGATCTCAAGAGGCATACTATGAACCTTACAGACTGGGGAAGACAAAGGGGCTTGGGATTTACATTTTAACAAATCTGAGTAACAGATAATCACATCTAAACTGCCTAAAAAGTTTAATCAATTGGACAACCAAATGAAGCAGTCTAAATTTAATAGTAATTAGTATTAGATAGGTTATGGCATACGATATCCATTCAGAGATTTGGAGAGAGTTAAGACTGGATCCATTCCGATGTCAGGGAATCTTCGAAGGTACAGCAGGCAGGAGTTCCGGTAGTGGAATGCCCCAGTTGCACAGTTTTTGTATGCCGTCTTCTATGGTTGTAACCGAGTGTATAGCGCCTTGTTGCAGTATGAGCAGCTTCGCCAGATAGCCCCAGTGGTAGGAGATGTCCTTCTCCCAAAGCCTGGTCAGTGACTTGCGGAACTGCAGAGCTGTCGCAGAGAAATCAGCGAAGACCTTGATGTTTCCATATGGCTCTGGGAGGCCTTGGATATACGCTCCTTTACATGGAAGAAATTGGATGTGGGCAATCACACCTCTTGCTACTGTGGCAGGTTGGTGTTTTGGGCATCTGAGTTGGTGAGCCCTGTCCACAATAAGTTGATCCAGGTGGATCTCTGGTGTGACAGCTTGAAAGAGGTCTAGTAGCTAGCTAGGCAGGTCCGTGTTGGTTACCTCCTCAGGGATCCTCCTAATGCAAAGGTTGTTCCTCCATGAGCAGTCTTTTAGATCCGCTATTTTGCTTTTTTGTGCCTCCAGAACCTCATCCAATTCTTGGAGTTTGTCTGCTAGGCTATTATGTGCAACAGTGAACTCATCCATCTTCTTTTCAACATGGGCTGTTCTCTGGCCCAGATCTTGAATTTCCCTTTGAAGGTCTGTTGCCAGAGTTTGCAGCTGGGTGGTAATGGTAGCTTGCAGTGGCAGTGTGGCTGATAACTCAGCCATCATAGCCTTCATGCCAGTAGTAGTTTAATGGCTCTCCTCAGTGAAGGAACATGTTGAAGCTGGCAGGGAGCAGCCGCCATCTTGATAGTGGTTCCCCATGGTGGTTCCCCACTTGGTGGTGGTTCCCCACGGAGGTTCGTGCCAGAAAGAAGGATGCTTGGTACGCTTGTGCCGCTTTAGCTTTTTGCCTCTGGGACATGGCAAGGCTGCAGGCAAGTTTTATGGTCTGACTTGCTCTTTGTTCTGTTTGTTTTTTGCTCCTCTCTGCCCAAGCCGACGGAGCTTCACATAAGCGCGTTCTCTCGGCTAAGCCACATCCCCAGAGCCGCTTTATTTTAAGCAGATATGTAATTGCATATAATCAATATTGTAATTCAGCTGCCTTGACATATTAAGAAAAGTTTGGTAATGGGACTGCAGCCCTGTGAACCCACAAAGCTAAGGGGAATGGGCCTTGACATAGCTTGCTTATAATTGATTTAGGATACAGTGGTTTCTAGTTTAATATAAAAAGTGGACATCTTAAGTTAGGAGCCATGTAAATCACACATACATGTGGTTGTCCCAGGTTTGTGTGGTTTCTCTTGTTTTTGTTTTTCAGATAGATCCCACGTCGGTTGATTGTGGTGTGGAGCCCCTGTTGGAAGGTGTCAGGGCAGCTGTCTAGGAGTTGCAGGACTGCCTGGGAGCCTCCTTTTCATCTTCTGTGGTGCAGGTGCACAGGTTTATGTGGCAGACCAGGTTGCGCAAGGTCTGAGCTCCAGCACTGTCCCCAGTTGTCAGCAGAGGAGGAGCCATCTGCTGCAGATCCTGTGGATGGAGCAGAGGCCTGCAGCAAAGAACGGTGTGGGAGTTCTGGAGAGGCAGTGGCCACATATCACAGAGGGGATGCAATGACTGAGGCGGCTGGCAGGTGAGCAGCTGCTCAGAGCTCCCCAGTGGTCGGCAAGGATGGATCTTTAGGGATATTGCGAAATACCCCTATATAATTGAAACAGTTGGAAAATGACGCCTTTGGTGTTATGTGTTATGTTGTAATTGATTTATTGTTATTAATTAGGTTGGGTCATTGTCTGTGGATATAGATGTAAATTGTTTATTACATTTATTAAATATATGTATATAAAAAATCAATTAAAACACATATATAACTTTATTAAAATAATATTATATATACGTTTTTTAATTGATTTTCTGCATACATATATTTAATAAATTTTATAAATTATTAAAATAATTTTATATATATGTTTTTTAATTGATTTTTATATACATATATTTAATAACTTTTATAAAAAAAATTAGTATTTTTAATCAACACTAAACCACTTTAATTTTGTGGATTAGTTGCCCATCAATTCATCATGAGTACCACACATTAGCTTTGAAATAATGGACCAATTGAGGTTAATATATATATATATATATATATATATATACATATATATATGTGTATATATATATATATATATGTATATTTATATACATATATATATATATATATATATGTTTGAATTTTTAGTTATATAACTCTAACTTAATGCCTATATTAATTATTGCACATTGTCACTTTTTGTCTTTCAATGCTCTACTGTTGAGCACACTGCTTTGGTGATAAATAAATAAAAAACCACTTGCATTATGGACATATTATTGCCAATACTTTGCCCATAAATAAAATGGAGGACTGTGTAACCGTGTGTGGTTCCCTTATTTACCACTATAATGTCTTAAAGCATAGAACTTAGTAGGGCTAACCATACAGATATCTTAGCCATAATTTTATATAGTGTAAGAGATCCTCTATTTAACATATATAAATAATTGAGAATACAATATAAAATAAGGATTGTCTTGGAAGCAAGATTGTCTTTTTGGATATTTATTATATAAAAATATAAAATCCATTATAGCAGAGTTTATAAGATTACATTACATGCTTGCAAATATCATTAATAGATTAACATACCCTTCTGAACATGTCATCATGTCAGCCTCTCTGTCATTTTAAGATGGAGCAGCGTCTGTCTCCAAGTCTCTCCTCTGTGTCTTAACATTTAAAAGTACACCTATTTATACCTTAGGTGTCTCCATTTTAGGTTACTGTAGTTCAAATATGAAAAAGTAACACTTCTTTTACTTTATTCAATTTAGGACCTCCCTTAATTTGGCAAACATACAAGGCCATAACTAAAGGGTGTATACGTCATGGAAATTTTCCTGACTTAGTTCAAGATGGCATCTTAAAGTCTGAATAGGTTATCTGTTGTTTATACTAAGTCGTAAGTGTACAGTCGCGGGAGATTCCAGGATTTGGGGAAGTTCCATTAACAACTGGACTCCAATGAAACAACTAACCGAATGGCTATTGAAGATTCTACTATAAGAATAGAAAACGGAAATTACAGACGGTGGAAGTGACGTCAGGAGAACCCGACCCACTGTGGGAAACTGAAAGGGACTGATAACAAGAAGACAGTGGGGCGAATACTCATCTCCCAGGTTCCCGGAAGTGACGTCACGCGTACGATTGTATGTCACGAATATGGGATAGACTACCAACAGCTGGGAAAATATACTCCCCTTCACAGGAGTGCTCGTGATTGGCCATATCACGATCTCCTACAACCTATCCGGCTTAGAGCAGGGAAATATAATTGTAAAGAAGCAGGATGGACACTACCAATTGAGGAAGCCGAACGGAATCTGCGAAAAACACATTTTGGGCGACCACACCAGCATTTTGTATGTATAAATTGATTTTAATTTGTTAATGTAATAAATATAATTTTTTATTGGATTACAACATCTGGTGCATCATCTATCCTGCTCAAAGAGGGAGAGTCATTCCCAATAAGGACTCATAAACCTATACACTCAGAGCCAGGTCATAGGCTCCTACCAAGGTGAGAAGCAACCTTTATTTATATCACTATAACCTATTGTATTAAGGATTTAAACACCAAGGTGCGCTTCCCTGTCTTTTTACCTTTATCTCTTTATCTCTGAGGAATACATTGAATTTGGATCCAAAGGGTGTGTGTCACCTAAAGTACACAACAGTGAAAGTGATTAGAGCCAATCCCTAATAGGCTCTAAACCACGTGAGTGCTTCTAATTAAAAGGTGTACATTCCCATTTGGATATTGGAATACACTATATATTTCTCTATTTTTTCCACAGTTATCTACGTGCTCTCTACGACCCCATATACTCTTGGGGAGTAAGTGATTATCTCCTAGCGCTACACACTCTCACTATTGGCATTTGGTTGTGTAAATAGTGTTTTCTTTTACATTGTAATATAATAGGATTGGGGAGTTCCTATTTTTGTGTGAGAGTTGCTATATTTAAGAGCACCTTGGCTTCCATCTAAGCGCCTAACAACACAGAACACTTTGTTGATTTGTTAGAGGAATCTCTCCAGATCATTAATAGGTACCCTTTTTACTTCATTTAGTTTTTGTGGTCTCTCCTACATTTACACTCTCTGTTATATGCTGGACGCATATGTATGCGTTCCAGCTTGAAACACATGTGAAAGCCGAAAAACAGGAAAAAGAAGTGATGTCCGAAACAATCCGGAATACATATGTGTCTCAGCGTGACAGGCACGCGATGCGAAGATACATCAGCTGAAACTTGTTCCCTTAATTCAAGTGGGGTATTTAAATGGAGAATGTGTACAGAGGAGGATTATCCCTGAAGAAGTCCACAGGACGAAACACGTGGGATACAGACGCTGGGGACTTACTTTGTTTCATTTTGCCAGGTCCACCTTTGATGTGGAGACATGCCTCTTTTTTTCTTGTGATCTTGTAAGTGCAATTGCAATAAATGTCTTATGTTTTTATTTCTGTCTGCACTATTTTCTGATCTCCTTTTACCTTAAATTGTAAGAAGATTCTACTATATTGAAGACTCCATTCCACACCTGATTAAGGATGTTGTGCCTGATATCCCCTAACCTTTTGTGAGTTTTCCTTATAACTATTGCGTGTCTTTACTTCAGTATACACTGATCACACTATGTTCAGTTTGTATCTCTTATAGACACCACAGACTACGCTCTCACAAAACAAGGTCATATTATTATTCATCTGTTTTGTTTATACCTTGGGATTTTACCTTGGGAATTTATACTCTGATCCTTTGCATTTGCATTCGTACCTATTTGTATAAAAGACAAAATAGAAACACCTCCCAATATGTGGTAATATAAAAGATTTGCAAATAACCTGAATTGTAGGTCGTGAATCTGTATAAAAATTAAAAAGCTGATATAGCGTAATACAGTATAAATAAGTGAGTGATATGTTAATGCAAATAAATACACTCACAAACAAACATGAATTTAGGCTCCTCATCCTCCCAGGGGTAGTAGTATGGTGAAACAGGTCCTCCGTGGAACATATGTAAAAATAAAAGAATCAAATATAGTGAAGTATGTAATAAAATTACAACATATCTTTATTGGTCTCACTTACAAGTGAAGAAATGTATCAGGCATATCTCCATATGATATGGAACTTCCAAACAATGTAGATCCAATGGAGCAAGTAAAATAAAATAAAATAAATACACTGAAATAAATATAGCAGCATATAAAAGTCCAACGCGTTTCGTCCAGCAAAAGGGGACTTCCTCAGGGATGTAAATGTTATGATCCTCCTGGGTATATATAGGAAAATGTCAATGATTGTCTTTAATTGGAAAAACTCCGGTATCTGGCACGTGAATGTAGCGTGCGTTTCAATAATGGAACGCATCTAGCCGGGTCTTGTTCCTGCGTTCCAACTGTGGCGTCATTTCCGGCGGAATGAGATGCGCATTCAATGCGCATGCGCAGAACCAACATGCGCACGCACACCGAACGCACCCATATCACACAGAGTTACCGGAACCTATAGAGGACAAAATTTAAAAGAACAGGGCGGAAACACCGCCCAAGATCAGAACACTTAAATAGCATATAAACCAAAGATAAATAGCATAAAAACCACACATGATCAAATATACAATACATGAATACCATATGAAGTACAAGCCAATTTTGTTTGTACCTATTTGTATGTTTTACTATACATGTGTATATATATATATATATACATATATATATATATATATATCTGTTAGAATCCCATCAATTACAACTTCCATCTGTACATTGTGTTAGAAGGATTGCTAGCAAAATGTATATATTGGAAGAAAAACCTACTTATAAAAGGAACTGTGACGAGAGCAATCTCGCCACATTGCATTGGAGAAGCCTGGTTGCTCTCCTGTTGCCTTTAGACTATGGCCCCATGTTAAAAGAAATATTTTTTACCCGCAGAAAAGATTTATTCGTTCTTTTCTGCCTGGTGTTCGGTAGATTCAATGCTGCGAGGCCGCCATTCATATAACTAACACGAGGTCGCGGCCATTTTAAACATGCGAATGCACAGCGGTGTTCGCGTTATTCATGGAACTGAAATCGGAAACAGTTTTGCGCGAACACCGCTGAAGCCGCCGACCTCCCTTCTTGTTTGGAGAAAGTGCACAAACGGCCTGGTGTTCAGTAGTTTTGCTTGAATGTGTTATACCCCAGATAGGAATCCCATGGAGCTCATTCGCATGAAACTGACTGTGTAAAGTCTTTGGCTCCATGGTAATTAAACTGTATTCGTGTGGTCTGAGCGCCATTCACTTAATAATGTGCGCTCAGACCTGAGCTATCTGGGGATATGTTAAATGTATGCTTTTAATGTTATGTGTCTCACACAGTGTATTTTAATAGTAATTCGTGTGTTAGTATCCCCACGTGCATATGGCGATTTGCCTTTGTCTTGGGAGATAACTGAATTACTTCTCAATTATCTCCAAGGCAGAGGGGAGGAAGCCAGGATGCATTGTGGGAATATAATGTGACTGTGTGTCCTGTTTCGCTGATTTTCTGTCTTTTGTCACAGTCTCCCATTTGGTCCCCTAGGGGAGTGTCTACCAGGTGGGAGACGTGCATAAATACTGGGCAGGTAGCACTCATTAAACAGACCACTGCTTGACCCTCAACACGGAGCCTTGTCTCGTCTTTGGGGGGATTTACTGAATGCTGATAGAGACTGATTGCTAGGAGTGTAAGCCGCTTGGATGCTTTTCCTATTCGTCTGCTAGCAGTGATTCGTATGGTTCCAGTTTGTGTGTTTGGAGTGCTATATTGGATGCCGTTCGGGAGTTTGGAGCATTCCCTTATTGGCGGTTCATGAGTTTGGTGTTCTACAATAGCTGTGCCTGCATCTCTGGAAAGGGGGACGATCGCCTAAACGTTTTTTACCCCTTATGTGCAAAAAGGTCCGTTACAGGAACTTCTTCCATCTGTCAATCAACTCTTCAAGACCTGAGTTGCACAAAAATCTAATTCAGCTGATTCAATTCTAGCAAACATTATATAAGAGGAGGAGGAATGTCATGTCACCCATTGAATTTACAAAAGGAGCTCTTTGCCCAATAAATAGTAAGATATACATTAATACTTCTTAAAAACAAAAAAATAACCTTGATACAATATGATATGTCCAAAGCGCAGTGGAGAAACAAACAACCAAATTCAACAGACACCAATAGCAAACATTATATGGAGAAATGTCACCCATAGATTTTTCAGAAGGAACTCTTTGCCCAATAAATGGTGATATACATTAAAGTTTCTTAACGTATATGTCACACAGAGGCTCACTATCAGTGACAGACACACACTGATTTGAAACACACACACTGACAGACACACACACATTGACGGACACTTACTGACAGAAACACTCACTGACAGACACACTGACACACACTCTCAATGACAGACACAATCTCACTGATTTGAAACACACAATGACATACACACACACTGACAGAAACACTGACACACACTTTCAATGTCAGATACAAAATCTCACTGCTTTGAAACACATACTCACACTGACAGACACACACTGACAGGCACTCACATGCAGACACACACACACACACACACATACTGACAAACACACTTACATATTTACACATTCTTGCACACACACTCACAAATACATTTTATTTCTTGTTGTTTTATCTTATTTTTTTAGGCCCATCCAGCCTCCCAACCTTTAGGAGATCTTCTCAATTGGGTCGGAAGATCTTCTCCCTTATGTCCAGTGGGGATTTTCTCTCTGGGATACAGTGGGGTTCTTCGCCCTGGGGTCTAGTGGGAATTTTCTCTCTGGGGTCCAGTGGGGATTTCTTTCCTGGGGTCTAGTGGGAAATTTCATTTCCTTTTTGCTCCCTTGCTTGCCCTCTGTAGTGACGTCATATTCTGGCTGTCGGCATCACTACAGAGGGCGCACAAGGGAGCACAGAGGAAGTGTAAACACATCAGCATTCCCTCGCCAGGTGGTCACCTCCTAAGCCCCCTGTGACGGGTCAGTGGCCATCTCTTTTCACTGCCCCCACCTTCTGGTGGACTCTGCGAGGTTCTGTGCACAAATCAAGACCTCATGTGCACTCCCTCAAAAATAGGTGTGCACGTCCACAAGCATACACCTTAGAGGTACCAAGTGCATTCCCCCCTCCCTATGCAAGACTGGTCAGTGGCCAGCTCTTTTCACCGCCCCCACCTTCTGGTGGACTCTGCGAGGTTCTGTGCACAAATCAAGACCTCATGTGCACTCCCTCAAAAATGGGTGTGCACGTCCACAAGCGTACACCTTAGAGGGAACAGTGGTAAAGGTGCATCCCCCCTCCCTATGCAAGACATAAATGCATCTTCACCTCTGTTTTTCTTAACCTCCCTCTTGAATTTGTTGCCCCCTTTTGTGTTTCTTATTCTCTCTTTTGATTGTCTTACCTGCTTTAGTGCATCTTATTCCTCACTTTTCCCTTTTGTATGTCTTACAATCCCTCCTTGTGTTTCTCTTACAACCCCCCTTTGTTTTTCTTTTATTTCCTTTATGTGTCTCTTTCCTCAAAGCCTCTTTTCTGTGTCTCATTCTTCCCTTTCTCAGCCCCCTCTGTGTCTCTTTCTCCCCCAGCCCATCTTTGTGTCTCATTCTCCCCAACCCCTTTGAGTGTCTTTCTCCCCCAGCCCATCTGTTTCTTTTTTTCCCCAGCCGCTCTGTGTGTCCCTTTCTTCCCCTGCCCCTCTGTGTCTCTTTTTCCCTTAGTCCTGCCATGTCTCTTGCTCCTTCCCAACCCCTTGTGTGTTTCTTTTTTCAACCCACCATCTGTGTTAATTTCTCCCCCTCAGTCACTCTGTGTCTCTTTCTCCCCTTCAGCCCCTCTGTGTTTCTCTTTCACCCCCCAAGCCCCTTTTGTGTGTCTCCTTCCCTTAGGCCCTCCATGTGTCCAATCCCCCCACCCCTCCATGTGTCTCATTTACCTCCAGCCCCTCCATGTATCTCATTTGCCCTCCATGTTTCTCATTCAATCCCCAACCCTTCCATGTGTCTAATTTCTCTCCCCAGCCTCTCCATGTGTCTCTTCCCCCTCCAGCACCTCCATGTGTCTCATTTCTCCCCAACCACTCCATATGTATCATCCCTTGAGTCCCTACATATTTCTCACTCCCCCTGGGCCCTCTTATTCCTCCACAGCAGCTCTATGTGTCTCATTTCCCCCAGCCCCTCCATGTGTTTCATTGCACTTATATGTTTCTCATTCCATCTGCCAGATCTTCAATGTGTCTCATCCCTCCAGGCCCTCAATGTGTCTCATACCCACCAGAACCTCCATGTTTCTCATTCCTCCTGTAGCCCCTCCATGTGTGTCATTCCCACCAGACCCTCCATTTGTCTGAGGCTCCCTCAGCCCCTGCATGTTTCTCATCCCACTCCATGTGTCTCACCCCTCTCCCCCACAGGCCTTGCTCTCTACTCGTCCCTGTCTGCCATCAAACCCATGGGGGACTTCCAAAGATTTTTGGCTGTTACTATTTTTTAGCTTTAGGAGTATCTGTCTATTTCTACCAAGTTCTCCTGTTCCAATATCATGCTTGATTCAATTCCAGTTTTGAAATAAACTCCCTTTATTCCTAAGTAAAAATGCTAATTTAGCAAAACGCATTTTGTCAATGTGTATTTTTGGCCTAGATAAATTAGATTTTTGAAACTTACTACTACACATTATTTGTTATCAAAATTTCATTTAATTTTATCGTAATTATACTTGTTTATGGTCTTAGGAAGAGGTTTCAACTAGTATGAACTATTTCAGAAGTTAAGATAAAAATAATCAATAACTTGTGCTAAAATCTATTTTGAGCATGCATATTTTGTTTGTTTACCATGTTCCACACGATAAATGCATTATCAAGACTTGCCATGGAAAAAGTAAGAGAAAGACTGAAATAGAGGCATTGGGAAGACAACATTACTACTGACAAGTAATAAGCATTGTGAGAAAACAAGACGTTCCAAATTTCAAAAGTAGTACATAGAAGTAAAAACTACCTTCCTTGTGCTAGTATAATTCCTTCTGCCCCAGCAAAATGTCAAAGGCCTCTACATTATACCACACTGATCACCCAAAATTAGTGACTGACAGTGGATATTCAGGTGAGAAAAAAAACTGAAATGGGAAAAATATAAGAATTGTGTGGTAAAAAACATATAAATATGGGACTTAGGACACAGATGTACATTAAATTCTCAAGCATTACTACTTTGTCCTAATAATCTGGCTGTTAAAAATTTGGTTGGCAAATACTTATTTGTTTATAGCAAATGGCTAGCCTGCTCCATTCCCCCTGATCCACCCCCAGACCCCCCTGCTTGCCACTCCGAGCTGTAAATTACTTTTAAGTAACTGTTTTATCTCTCTTCCTAAGCCCCAAGTCATCATACATCCCTGCATTAAGGTCTTTTACTTTGAAAACTGCAGCTGTCAGCCCAAATCATCATCCATCTTTGAATAAAGGCCTTTTAATTTTACTCGGCTCCTTCCACCCACCCTCGTTCTTTCTAACTATTTAGCATGCTTTTCCAGCTGTTTGGAATCACAGCCAATCGGTCTGTACTTATTGTGTTGTCTTTCCCAACTGTACAGCGCTGCGGAATATGTTGTTGCTTTATAAATGCCAGTAATAAATAAAAAAAAATAACTAATACTAGCAATTTCCTTGTAAATTTGCGATACCTCCCAATTTAATTAATAAGCTCAGAAAAAGCATGAACAAGGTTTAAGTTTAAGGGGTGGGATACGGCTGTACAATCTATAGAGGGAACATATAGAGGAAAAAAACACAATAGTGTAATACAATAAATACAATGAATAGTGCGCTTAAATGGATGCACTCACAAGATGATGAAAATAGAAGAGCATTCATAGGGTGCCTCCCCATATAGCATGGGGGGCTAGTGGGTCCCCTTTCCGATGTAAAGCGACCAATGGAACACGGGACTCCAGGTAAGTAGCAGTAAAAAAGCAATACTTTTATTTTCTTAAAAGGTGAACAAGCACCATAAGAATGAAGGTTAAAAAGTGCAGCAATAGGTCCAATGCGTTTCGTTCAAAACTAGAACTTCATCAGGGACCGCACAATAAAAAATCACAGACAATATCATAGATTGTAAAATAACATCCTACTTTCCCCTTAACAGAATCTCTATATATAGGGCTAGTCCCAAAGTCCTCCTACATTCATCTACAACTGAGAGGGAAATAGATACTGTATCTGAAAGGGAAGACTATAGGTTTCAACCTAAATCTCATTTTTTTCCAGCTCAAAGTAAGGGCCCCTTCCTAGAAACTTTTGAACATATGGTTGATCAGGCTTTCCAATCTATTGCTAAAAAAATAAAAAGTGGATCATGCCCCTTTAATTTAACAAAAAGGGAAGAAGCGACTTTACAACATCAATCACAACACTTACCAACACACACTGACAGACAGACACACACACACTGAAAAACACACACACTCTCTGACAGACACATACACACACTCTCTGACAAACAGACATACACATTCTCTGACAGACAGACACACACACACACTCTCTGACAGACAAACACACTCGCACTCTCTGACAGATAGGCACACAGTGGCGTACATACCGGGGTCGCAGGGGTCACAGCTGCCCTGCGACCCGGTATGTACCCACTGTGGCCAGCCTCTTTTCCTGGGGGGCCCAGGAGCCGGCCACCTCATGGCCCCCTGAGGCTGGCCCTGGTGTCACCGGGCAGGCGGGCTGCCTATCATGCTGGCGAGCGCGCGAGGGAGCACTCTCTCTGAAACTGCTATGTTTTCAGCTACAGGGTTAAAACTTGAGGGACCTGGCACCAAGATCACGTCATTGAGCTGACGTGATCTGGGTGTCTGTAGTGGTCCTTTAAGTGTATGTGTATCTGCATGCACTGGCGTACATACCGCGGTCGCAGGTGCCCTCCGCCATGTGTTGCGGCCCCAGTCCACACAGAGCAAGTGCAGGGGGGGGCCCACGGATCAGTTTTCGCACCGGGGCACCATGGGTTGTGTGTACGCCACTGCAGGCACACACTCACTGACAGACACACACTCACTGACAGACACACACAAACTGACAGACACACACACGCACACATTTCCACATTATTTCACACACTAACATTTTGATTTGATTTATTGCTCCCTACCTTTGGGAGTTGGTGTGGGGTCTCTTCTCAGTCTTCCTGCTCTTCACTGCTCCCTTTCGCGTGCAGTTTAGTGATGCTGGGTGCCGGAATATGACGTCATATACAGGGGTGTATCTATCACGAGGCAAACAAGGTATTTGCCAACGGGGTGGCAAAATGCCTTGTTTGCCTAGTGAGAGATATGTTTAGACTAAAAAAAAAAAAAAAAAAACTGTTCAATCCGACGCCCCCTTCTCACTCTCTCTGCTCTGCTCTATCCCTGCTTCCTGATTAATGTCTGTTGCCATGGAGAGCAGAGAGCAAACTGACCCACGAGAAGCAGCATGCACCCTTCAGAGCCTCCATCCATTTTAGCCGCGCAGCAGGAGCGGTGTGTGGAGGAGGAGTGGAGACATGCTGTCTGCATACTGAAGCTCCGCTGAGCTGTGACAGGGAGAAACTGGGAAAAGCTGCAGTCTGTGTGTTTCTGTTTTGAACTCTGCAGAGTGGGTGAATGATTTAAATTTAACATATGAATGTCTTTTTTTTATTTTAACAACAATAAATCCCCCATATATTTTTTTTTGGCACTGTTTAAGGAACAAACCCCTTATTCCCAAAACTTGTAATTTATACAAAAAAGTATTTTGTAGTAATGCAATTTTTTTTCTTTATTATATTTTTATTATGATTAATTTTATTATAATATAATTATAATAAAATTGAATGTATAATTATTATATAATTTATTTTATTAATTTTTTATTATTACTACTTTTTTTTTATAAGACTAAATTGACTGTCCTCAAAAGTCACAATAGGTTCTTCCCTGATTGCCCCCATAAGCACCCCCTGTCCTGCTCAAATTTAGTCAGGACAGACAGACATGCTATGTCTGTTGATTTTCACTGACGCTACGTCTGTTGAGTTTCACTAACGCTATTTTTATTGACGCTATGTCTGTAGATTTTTACTGATTAGAGGGGTGCCCGAGTTTAGTCTCGCCCAGGGCAGCACAAAACCAAGATACACTACTGGTCATATTCCGGCACCCGGCATCAGTACAGAGGGTGCGCGCGAGGGAGCAGTGAGGAGCAGGAAGCCTAAGCTCCCTTGCTGCCACCAGGGACTTCTCCTCCGGCCGGTACCGGGTAAATTTGAGCAGAGTAGGCACCTGCAATGTAAGGAGAGCAGGTGCCTACTCTGCTTTAGTCATCTTGGCAAACTCGTGGCTCGTGGGCCTCAAATATATTTATCGTGGGCCGCATTCAGGCCACGGGCCGCGAGTTTGACATGCTTGCTCTATACAGTATATAATGCAATTAACAGTCAGCACACATGTCCCCAATCTAGGTGCATATTACGTGTATTAATAATAAAAATGATTGGTGCAATGGTAATATGTGTGACCAACCTAGTAACATGTGTAAATACTTACAGAGTAGTCATCCTGATATCTGAGAGGGAGACAAAAAAGGGAGAACTCCTACTGCAGCACAATTTAAAATGTATAACTTAAAATAGTAGGTTCTTTAAATATCTCACTCACAAGATAGGAGTGGTAAAAGCACCATTTGTGGCTATAGCGCTCAGGGAGGATCAACCCCTAGAGCACATGGGATCCATAGGTTACACTTGCGACCAGGATATCAGGTAAGTATATTCTTTATTGTATCAATATAGTAAAAGCATATGTAGGTATGTAAAATTGTAGCACTTTACAATATTACGAGAGGGGGGATTTAACTATAACTAGGACAATTACAAGAAAACTTACAGAAACGATAGGTTGAAGAGGACCCTGCTCAAACGAGTTTACAGTCTATAGGAGGTGGAGTATAAAACACATTAGGACAGGAAATAGCAATCAAATAAGGTGGGAGTGAAGCAGAGCTTGAGTAGAGAGTCAAGTGCTGCCCTTTAGGAAAGAGCAAGAGACAGGTATGTAAGGTAGCGATTACTCTGGGAGGCCATAAGCTTTCCTAAAGAGATGGGTTTTAAGGCACTTCTTAAATGATTGAAGACTAGGGGGGAGTTTGATGGTGGTAGGCAGGCAATTCCATAGGAAGTGAGCCGCCCGCAAGAAGTCCTACAAGCGTGAGTTGGCCATCTGGGTGCGAGCAACGGACAGTAGAAGGTCACAGGCAGAGCAGAGAGACAGAGAAGGGGCATACCTATGGATCTGTGAAGAGATATAAGAGAGGCTAGAATTGTTCAGTACTTTATAAGTATTAGTTAGCACTTTGAATTGACTCCTATAGGATACAGGAAGCCAATGTAAGGACTGACAGAGGGGTGAGGTGTGAGAGGACCGACTAGAGAGGAAAATCAGTCTGGCGGCAGCATTCATTACAGACTGTAGCGGGGCAATATGGCTTTTGGGAAGACCAATTAGGAGAGGGTTGCAATAATCCATGCGGGAAATTACATGGACAAGCTCCTTGGTAACATCATGCGTAAGAAAGTGGTGGATGTGGGCTATGTTTTTAAGATGGAATCAACAGGATTTAGCAACATACTGGATGTGAGGCTCAAAGGTGTGACCAGAATCCAATATGACGCCAAAACAGTGCGCTTGCAAGCATGAACTAATGAGAGAGGAAAAGTATGACTGTTTGGCGAGGGCAAGGGCTGCGCTGTATGAACACAACATGAATCTATGAATTATAGTAGGTAAAAAAGCCTACACGTACCAGGAGATCTCTTACCGGATGATACAAATAGTTAATCTAGACAGAACTAGAAAACTCTAAAATATAATATCGAAACCACCTGTAAATGCATGAATTAATAAAATAGTAAAATACACAAAAATATCTTAGAATATAAAAAACTTGGAATATAAAAAACTGGTTGTAACATACATAAATTCACTAGGTGGCAGCCTTGCATAAAATGATCTTTGGTATAGAGAGGATCTTCTACTAAACAGCGAAAACTCTTAAAATATAAAAAGTGGGAAAAAAACCTTAGGATTGACTGCAATGAAAGTATAAAAATATAAGAATAGATTATCCAAAACAACTTGATAGTCCAATAAAATCCAGAATGATGAAAAAGTAAAATAATGTCCGATAAAGTCTTTAATAAACAAAGTTCTTTTAGTGCAACAGTATCAATATCACATCCCACACAGTGTGCTTCTGCTCAATAAAATAACAGTAGCAATAAAGTGTCAAGTTGTGAATATAATTTAACCAATGTTGGTATATATCAGTAGAATCTCGGATAGCAGCAAAAAACTAACAGTTACTCAGATACCACCAATACAGGTATATAGTAATACGATCTCTAGATGATCGGCAATATTAGTAAAAAGTTCAAAGTGCTTATTTTAAAAACTTCATATTTATTGAAAATGAAATTGATATCAGAACACACTCACAAAATTGAAGTGTAGTATTCCAGCAAATGAGTCCTTATCGGGTAAGAAAATCGGGTGATGGTCAGCAAACTGAGGAAGAACTCTTTCCGGCCGGTGAAATGATCTTACTGTGTTGGGAGAAGTGAAACCCCTCTCCCGTGCCTTCCACTCAGTGTGCCCGATTTGCGTTCCATGGTTGCTCGGTAGCTGGATCGATGTACGGCAATTGCCGAAAATGCCTTACGCATTTCATGACAATTCACAGTCACTTCTTCAAAGGAGATAGTCTGCCTGGGTATGAGAGTTCATTCAGGACAATGGGAGCATCTTTGCAGGTAGCGTGTTGATTTAGTATGCTACGGTTGCTTTTTTGAGCAGGGGGGGCCTGGCGGGCAGCACAGGATTTCCTTGAGATCATTAACAAGATACTCCTGTGTAGTTCTGGGTTGATTCCTCACCATTCTCATGATCATTGAAACTCCACAAGATTATATATTGCATGAAGCACCAGACCGAGGGAGACTGACAGTTGTTTTGTGTTTCTTCCATTTGCAAATAATCACACCAACTGTTGTCACCTTCTCACCATGCTGCTTGGTGATAGTCTTGAAGCCCATTCCAGCCTTGTGTAAGTCTACAATCTTGACATCCTTGGACAGCTCTTTGGTCTTGGCCATGGTGGAAAGTTTGGAATCTGATTGATTGCTTCTGTGGACAGGTGTCTTTAATACAGGTAACAAGCTGAGATTGGGAGCACTCCCTTTAAGATTTCTGCTTGTTACCTATATAAAAGACATCTGGGAGCCAGAAGTCTTGCTGATACTTATTTCACTCATTGACATGCAAATCAATTTATAACTTTTTTACATGCAATTTTCTGGATTATTTTTTGTTTTGTTTTATTATTCTGTCTCTCCCTGTTAAAATACACCAATCATGAAAATTATAGACTGATCATTTCTTTATCAGTGGGCAAATGTTCAAAATCAGCAAGGGATCAAATACTTTTTTTCCCTCACTGTATATTAATGTCTCATTAATCCATACTATTTTTATTTCATATTAGCTTTATACAGTGTTGAATTTTAACAGTACTTCACTATTTTATGTATTTTTCTATTTTCTATGTGTGAACTGGAATTTGGGGAATAATATAATCCCCAAAGAGCTTTTAAATTAGCGCTCCATCTACGTATGTATATTTGCATTTCTGTTTGATGATTTTTGTTTATCTATTTTTCACACAAACTGCTAAAGCCCCAAAAAAATTTTTTTTGATTCTCTTCTAATATGTCAGACCAACATTCCTGTTTTATCCTATAGGTTCATATCAACTTTTGAACCCATATTTAGAAATATGCTAACATTTTAAAGAAACAGAACTTGACAGCAAATGGATTAATTTAAATTTATTACAAAAATAATTTTACTTTAGATTAATTATTTTTCAACTTTCTAATGCTAACATCTATATGCTGCCTTGTGGCTTTGAAAATAAAGCTCACACTCACACTAACACTAAAACTAGAAACATTCCAAGCTTACCATTGGCAGGGTAAATGAATGAACACCGGATTTTGACTGGATAAGCAATCTCTGGCTCGAAAGGCAGTTCTCATATTTGCTAGAGCTCTGGTCTTCATTCGATCAGCCAGACTGCATTTGCACCAATAAGCCAGGTGCATTCGTAGTCTGGTTGAAAATCTGTGCTTTTCGCATCTGGATCCTGCAAATATATGATTTGGCATATGTTCAGAGTACTAATTTTAAACTCAAAGGGGGCCTAATGCAAGCGAACAATAATTGTTAATACTATTTGTCCACTGACAGCTCTAGGTAAGTCTCAAGAGTAGTGAAACTTCAACAGTCTATCAGCATTCGGTCCAGCTAAAATGCAGGCCATATTCAGGTTTATTCTCTGCAAAATCTGTACATTGTTAAATAGCAAGAATATTTTTGAATCTAGTCTTTATTGTTTTGGACAACTATTTTATATTTAATTTATTAAAAGTATTTATTGGGACCACAAATAATCAATGCAGTGCTTTTTCATTAAAGGGACACTGTAGTCACCAGAACAACTACAGCTTATTGAATTTGTTCTGGTGAGTAGAATTATTACCTTCAGGCTTTTTTCTGTAAACACTGTTTTTTCAGAGAAAATGCAGTGTTTACATAACAGCCTGGTGATAACGTCACTGACCACTCCTCAGATGTCTATTAGAGATATTTCCTGGGTCATTGCTGCTTAAAATGCATCCACACATTCAGTGTCTCGACCCTCTGCATGCAGACACTGAATTTACCTCATAGAGATTCATTGATTCAATTCATCTCTATGAGGAGATACTGATTGGCCAGTGCTGTGTTTGAATTGTGCTGGCTCTGCCCCTGATCTGCCTTTTTGTCAGCCTCAGCGCCAATCCTATGGGCAAGCATTGTGATTGGATCAGGCTACCACTTCTGATGATGTCAGCAGGCAGTGGGCAGGTCAAAGGAAACAGTGACAAAGCCAGCAGCTCCAGACTTGAATACAAGTAAGATTTTACTATATTTAGGGAGACATGAGGGGACCAGGGTTGCTAGATGGTAGTTTTAACCCTATAGGGTCAGGAATACATGTTTCTGTTCTTGACCCTATAATGCTCCTTTAAGCTTACTTAAGCTTAAGTATTTGGGAAATGAAAAGTTTTAATATACAGTGTCCTCTATCTTGCAATATTTCAGTGTCTAAAATGTTAGTATTAACGCAAAAAGTCAATTTTTCTCACATGTAGAAGGTGTGACAAAAATCTATAAATAAAAATGGTCAAAAACCTTGCCAACAGGTATTTGTAAATATCCTGAAGACTAGATGTGTTATATTGTGTTTTGTCATATTGTTTATGTATTATATCTAGATGTGTTATATTGTTTTTTGTAAGAAAAGAGGAATCCTCCTCATCTTGAAGACATCCAGCTGAAAGTTTTGTTACTTTTTGCCACAATGATTAATTTTGACGTGCCTGAATACTGCCTATAAAATAAAAAAATTTTGAGAAACTAGTCAAAAATCTAAATAAAAGAGAAGAATCTAAGGAAGGAAATAGAACTCTAATGGATCTTATAACTAGGAATGACATTATCATCAAAATGCAGACAAGGCGGAGGTATAGTCATTATGGCAATGGAAGACAATTTGACAGAAGCGTATAGGATATTAGGAGATCAACAAACTTATACAAAATTACAAAAAATCTGAACCAAAGATTTAATACAGAACGTAAACAACTATGAAATGATGCAAAACAGGTAGGCATCATAGATGACAGTGTTTTCATTCCTTTTCTCCGAGTTTCCTAGAGTACCCACTTTTTATTTTCTGTCTAAGGACAAATTACTAGATGTGCACCTTACTAAAAATTTCAACATAATGTAAAATGAATGTCTGCATTTAAGTATAATGCTTACATACAGTACATACAGTTAAATCATATATTTTTAAAATAAATGTATTTTAAAACTGCTATAGCAGCTTTATTAATTTCTGAACTGCTAATGTAATGCTAACAGTGAAATTATTTCCTCCTCCCTTTCTTACTGCAGGAATGGTATCTCACAGTGAAACTTTCTGTAATGTTTGAAAAAAGGAGGTGAGTTTACATTTGCATCACATTTAAATTCATTATATCAGCAACTGGTGGCTTCTGGGAGAGAAACTCAATCCTTTGCAGGCTGGTAATCACAACTAGAGTACATGTATACTCAACTCTGGTATTGAATGTGATAAAGACCTACAAATGTCAAATAGTGGCTAAAAATGGGTTGTAAAAGAAGATATCTTGCTGACTTTTAATGAAAAAAAAAGGAGTAGGAGGGAATGAAGATGGCATATCAAAGTATTGCTTCATTAGATATAATTTAGTTGGTAACTATGGGATAACAAAGTTCCAAGATGTTCAGACAACATGATTTGTCAGTAATGAATGTGTGACATGACATTTCTCTCATCTGGCACATTGTGGAACAGCCTGATCTATGTGAAAGGTAGGAATCACACTACCAAACTAGAGCTGTTCGCCTCTTTTTTTTTTTTAACCATAATCTTTTTTTTCACATTGTTTTTATTTTTTAGTGAAGGGTAAGGTTGACACCTAGTGGATTTATTCTAAATTGATCTTAAGCCAATTAGGTTTCTTAGTGCACCAGTAAGTAATATTTTAGGTTGTTAAGCCTGTGCATGTCATTTGACCTCTATCATTTTGTGGTAGAACTACTGCTACATTTATTTTATTATATTTCTTTTGGATCATACTTGGGTTTATTTACTGATTACCTAAGAGAAACATATTTGTGAGACGTAATATCTTACTTTTTGATGTGTAGACTATTGATCGTTATTATAATAATTTAACCTTGCACTGCAGAGAGTCCCAGGAGAAAGCATGTCCCATGTAAGTGGAATTATCTCACAAGAGCAGGCATTAGGCTGCTAGAATAGGACCTGCCAAAACTGAGGTACATTGACGTTGTGGTAGGATTTTGCAATGTATGGTCATATAATGTAACTAAATCCCCATTATTTTTGCCTAGATTAGGTGTTTATTTGTATTTATTTAAACTATTATATTCTGTGTGCTTTGAAATTGCTGTTTAGTGAATGAGTGATCGCACTGGATCGTTTATGTAATATAAATAATATGTATATATTTTGAATTTTGTTTTTGCTCCACCTTTTCCCCTCTATTGGTTCATATTCACTTGATCTGTGAATACAACCAACATTTAGTAGTGGTTGTCCCCCTAACCATCAGTCAGCTTTTTTACCATTAAACATATGTTTTATTGGGGGGGAAGGGTGCACCCAGACAGAGCTCTAAATCATGAATCACAAATCAAACTAAAGTGTAGTTATTCATCCATATGGAGAAGTATTTTATCAGATCAAGGGGGCAAGCAGGAAAAATATATCCACTTAACCTATGTACATTTAAATGCATACGATTTGTTTGAAAATGGTATAATATAGTCTCAAAATAAATACACATGCTAGATTTCAAATGTCTTATAAATAGAGCTACCTGCAAGACTTCCATTCTATCATCACTTGAAAATGCCTGTTGACAAAACGCATTGTGATTTCATAATAGGTTTTTTTATCTACTTTTTATTTATTTATCTATTTGTTTGGTAAATTACAATAAAAGTTGCTTTGTCCTGTATCTATCTCAATATTTCTCCAATCCAGAAAATCTCCACTGGCACTGTTGCACTTTCTCATCTATTCTCCTTTATCCTTGGTGGGGATTATACCACTCACGCTGTTTTCATAGAGCATGCACTGCTCTTAAAAATGTAAGTTTACCTCCTTTTAATTACGCAAAGTTGCTATTATTATAAACAGAGAGCACTATATTTTCTTTATTTCTCTCTTTGCACTGTAGAATCATTTACAAATGTATCCGTGAGTGGTATTATACCATTCCAAGCCTTTTCTAGGAGCTAATTGGAAACTCTTGTTTTGTGAATGTATTTCCATTTATTATAGAATTTTGTAAGGTGTTCATACTGGTATACACTATTGTTGTAGATTTCCATTATCCACATTTTGAATTTTTGCATTTTACCTTGAATTACGCAATATTACACTATTGGTTCTCCCTATGTGTTTATTGTCTTAACATATCATGAGACTTACCTGTGAGGAGATCAGACTGCTCCTCCAAAAATTTTCTTCACCAAGAATCTTTTCTACACCATAAAGACTTTGTTTTGGGACTATATCATACAATTTTCAAACAAAACATAACCAGGACCCTACAGAGTTAAAATTTATTGGTATTCAACTAGTTAAACCTAATTGGAGAGGAGACAATTTTATTAAGAAAATGGGTCAAATAGAAATGAAATGGATTTTCAATTTAAATACATTGACACCAGGAGGTCTCAATAATGATTTTGAGATATGCCATTTCATTTAATCCATTTCATTGATGTTCCTCTGGAGGAGAATACTGACCATTAGACATGGTACATCATATGAAATACTTTTACATTTGTAAATGAGAAAGTCAATAATTCATGTGGAAATCAATCAGTTATTATTTTTAAAATATATATTTTTATTATACATATTTTACTGTCCCTTTAAATTTGGAATAAAGCTAAAGGAATGTTGTAAAATGACTTAATTCCTACATGTTGACATTCTCATAAACACATTATATGTGAAAATATGTACCATACATTCATACATCTATATATGTTTTCTTTTCCCTCCTTTCCTCTTTACTATTGCCTTTTGCCTTTTTTTATATACACTGAGGACGAAAGTCCCCTCCTTTTCAAAAAAGTGTGGGCAAAAAGACACATTACAGTGTATTTGCCAGAACTCTGATAGCTTTGGAAGTGACGAACGGATTCATTCCGCCGCGTCACTTCCGTTTTTCTATTCAGGGCGCTTGCCCATGAGAAAAATGGCCGCGGCGAAAACGGAAGTGACGCGAAGTATGACACAGCATCACTCCGATCGCCGGAATGACCCTCAGGTGAGGCGAATTGAATACTAAGAAGAAGCCTCCTGATTGGACCACGGCAATAAAGACCCGCCTACCGGAAGAATAAACCGGCAAATTTAAACAGCAAGAATATGGACACAGTGAACCCGATTGAAAAAGCCCACATAGCGTGGGTGAAACGCGTCTCGGAGCTGAAGCCTATATTTGGGACTTTAAAGTTACTATTTTGCAAAGTATTTTATTTTATTTTATTTTAGCAATAAATTTATTATTTTTTATATACATCCCATTGGCCTTTGGTCCTATCTTGCTGTTAAAGAAGGGTAAGTGCCCCCTTTCAAAGGCACTCAAGTCTACCATCTAGAGCCAGGTTCTCATTGGCTCTAAACCAGGTGAGCACTACTATAATTACTGTTTGTGCTATATCAGTTATATACAAAGTACACTAGGGGGGGTTTTTTTCCCCTGTCTCTCTTTCTTTTCTCCTTTGAGGAAATTTATTCCGGATAAAGGGTGCAGTGTCTCCATACGATACTGAAGTTGAAGAGATTTGAGCCTGTCCTGTTATGAGGCTCTAATCCATGTGAGTTTGATTATTGATATATTATCATAATATTCCCTCAATTCAACGGATTTACACTATATTGTGTTGTATTTTTCTGTTTCATTTGCATGTACATATATATACCTGAGATCCAACCCTAATTAAGGGTAAGTGTGAATATTCAGCGCTCCACTCACCTGACCAGCACGGTCTGGGCTTTTGTCCAGTCTATGCAGGTCTTATTGTGCTTCACTTTTACATTCGAGTGGGGGATAGAGAGCACCCACTAGAGTGTGCAGCTGCTTCTATACCACTATTATTATCTCTATAAGCGCACTAAACACAGTAATCACCATTGTTTGAAATCGTAACTATATATCTACTGCCAATTATTCTGAAGTAAATATTAGATATTAATTTTTTATCTATACTCATACTTTTATACTGCGCAACCTGTTTTTTCTTTAAATTCTACCATATAATCTTGAATTGTTAGTTTTTGCTGCCCTTAGAGTTAGTGCTGTTAAAAGCTTCTTGAACCAATGAATCCAGATAATTCTTTTGTTTAAATGTATTGCTCTTCAGAAACATTCTTTTCTGTACGATTCATTTGGATCCTCTGGAATTGACTCTTATGGATCTTGTTCAGCCATGAGATTCAGTCCATGCTATTATAGGTTACATAATTGTTAACATCTACATGTGTAAAATTATTATTTTTTTTTATTTTCTTATTTTCAACATATATTTCTAAATCTAAAAAAGTTATGCTAGAAAAGCTCATGTGACTCATTGACTGGTCAAACAAATACATTATTTTGATTTAGTCTGTTTAGAGAATTTTCTATAACGTTCACTGGGCCATCCCATATAAAATAACAGATCATCCATATGACCTTTATAGGTGGCAAGGTTTCTGCTGATTCTTGACTACCATAAATGTAGTTTTCTTCTCAAATAGCCATAAATAAACTGTTGTAGCTTGGAGTGCACCTGGTCTGCATATCCATGAGCTGAAGCAGGATTTAAAAAAAAAAAAGAGAATTAAAAACAGAAATATTTATTATTTAAAATCCATTCAATGCTTTTAATAAGAAACTCAATTTTCTGTTCTTTAAACAGATTAGACTTAATTAGAAGTTACCGAACTGCTGCACAAGCTTTGTCATTAGAAATGGAAGTATATAAAGAAAAAACATCTGGCATGGTAGGGAATTAGGGATAAAAACACATCAGAGGGATTTGGGAATTGTTATAGAAAATAAATTAGGTAGCAATATGCAATGTCAGTCGCCAGTTGCTAAGGCCAGTATGATTTTGTCATGTATAAATAGAGGCATAAATTCTCGGGATGAAAATATAATTTTGCCTCTTTATAAATCGCTGGTAGGACCACACCTTGAATATGCTGTGCAATTTTGGGCACCTGTTCTAAAGATATCATGGCACTAGAAAGAGTGCGGGCTATAAAATTGATGAAAGGAATGGAGCATTTTAGTTATGAAGAAAGGTTAAAAAAGTATAAAAAAATTTTAGTTTAGAAAAACGGCGCCTCAGAGGGGATATGATAACATTATACAAATATATTCTGGGCCAGTACATTCCATTATCTGGAAATCTATGCATGAACAGGGCTATACATAGGACACAAGGTCACACATTTAGGCTGGAAGACAGGAGAATTAGTTTAAGGCAAAGAAAAGGGTTTTTTTTACAGTAAGAGCAATAAGGATATGGAATTCTCTGCCTGAAGAGGTGGTTTTATCAGAGTCCTTACAGATGTTTAAACAGCAATTGGATAAATACTTGCAAAAACATAAAATGCAGGGATATCATTTCTAATTAGTGGGGTGATAAATGCTTGATCCAAGGAGACATCTGACTGCCATTTTGGGGTCAAAAGGAATTTTTTCCTAGTTTGTTGCAAAATTGGAAGCACTTCACACTGGGCTTTTGCCTTCATTTAGATCAACAGCAAAAACATATGTGAGAAAGGCTGAACTTGATGGACGCAAGTCTTTTTTCAGCTATGTAACTATGTAACATCACATGTCACCAGTATGTAAGAGTATAAAGAAGACACATCACATGTCACCAGCATGTAAGAGTATAAAAAGGCACTTTACATTTCACCTGCATGTAATATATTTTACTGTCTGAGATTAGGCACAATAAATAGTCAATATTAGACTTTTGCATTGACATTTTTGGCTCTTCCAAATTAAAACAGCCCTGATTTTTACATTTTTTGTTCTGAAGAATTGCGTTTGAAGTTTTACATATCCCTATGTACGGAAAAGACTGTCGTTCACAAATATCCTAGAGTGGTGATTATACCACTCCACGCTATAATTTAGGCGCCGACACGCATTTCATTTTCATTTTATATTTTATCAATTGTTATCCAGAGATACTAAACTAGATTAGTCCAACTGTATATTTTATTTTTTTTATGCAAACTCCTGGATTGCTGACTAAGACAAAGGGAACCTACAAGGATCTAGATGCAGGGATTGTACCACTCATGCTCATACAAGTGGAGCTTTCAAGAGCTTCCAAAATCTGTAAGTGTATTCCTTACTTAACCTTCAATTTTACTAGAATACTGCACTCCATATTTCTCCATCTCTGTTACATATATCATAGAGAAATACTGTAAGGCTCTACTCCTCCCTTTCTGTACAACAATTAACATCTCAATATAGCTAGTGGCACAGTTTTGTCACTGCATTCATGAGAATGTAAAGAAATTACACCAATGAGGTTATTCACTAAATTCTAAATTTTGTCAGCTTAAATCCAAAAAGACAATATTGAAGCTAACAGGGCTATCCACTAAAATGAGAAATCAAATTTAGGGCCATAATAGGCGAACTAAAAACATATGATTTGAGAACTTTTCAATTTCAGTTAGATTTACCTTAAATGTTAAAATCACCTTGAATTCACTTTAAATCCTCATTTTAGTGAATAATCATGTAATTATCTAATTTCAGGGGGGAAAAAAAATCTCCAACTCAGTTCTTATCCCATCTTGGCAACGTTAGATTTAGTTTAACAATTAGGATTTTTTTTCCCTCTAAAATTGAGACATCATTGAATAACTCTGCAAGAGTGGTAAGAACTACAGTCCACCACATCTTAGAAGCAGGCTCTTCTAAAGACCCTTCACCCTAAATTTCCCTATTACTACCCTTAAACTCAATACAGTGCAGACTACTGCAACCTGAATTATTTCAGACACTGAAACAGAAGTGTAGATGCTAATCCTCACAAAGAGGGCCATAATGTTGTCTCCGTCTTAATGCAGCAATATAATTACATTTTTACTGTCAACCTTCAGAAGTTTACATTTTTAAAACAAGTCAATTCACATACCTTTGTACTAAAAGATATGTTACTTATACCTACATTGTGTTGCAAGAATCAGCAGATACCATCAACAGGCTTGTAATCTGAAAACCAATACAGAAGTTGTAACCAGAGTTAAGTTATACAATTTATGGGACAGAGTTCTTGGTGCGGGTAACCCCTTATAATCTTATTGTCATCACCCACAAATGCAGCTGTGTGCAGAACAAAAATGCTTTTATTTTTCCATTGTGATCAAAATCAATTTATGTGTTGTTACCTTTTATAATCAAGGATCTATCTACAGATATTTGAAAACATGCTACATACTGTAGCACAATCTTTTATTCTATAAGGAAGAGACATTATGACAATGTGACATCATAAAAATGTGTAAACAGGTCTGTCACATAGTTTACACAATGCATTATTACATGCTTTGGACATTTTCACAGTTGATCTGTAGATAAACCCTTGCAGAAATGAAACATGCCAACCATTAAAAAAAATATGAAAAATAATTGATTCCAAAGGTTTTACAAAAAAAGAGAAGGAGGAAATATGAATACCAATGCTACAGTAAGAATATTGTGGCCTCTGAAAATGGACGTACTCACCAACAGCTCAAGAAGCTCACAGATAAGCAGACGCTTCATGGTGGAGATATGGCCTTGACGTATGCTTGTTTAATCTTTATCATGTTTTGTAGATTATGGTTAATAAGTATTGGAAATATAGATACATGGTATACTATCAATAACCTTGTATTTAGGATTATATCAGGAACAGAACATAGTAATTATAACAAGATTATGTGGCACAATATGTTTCTGTTTTTATCTTCTATTGGTAACATGCTCCTAGTGTATTTTTTTAAAACAAATTTAAAAAAGAAGAATGTTCATGGAAGTCTCTAATCTAGTAAAATATGTTGACTAGACTCGCCTTAATTAAATCATTTTACACATTAGTGCAGTCTGAAAAATAAACTATTATCAGGTATTTAATTCAATAAAATTATGCAGAAAGGTATCTGCACATAGACAAATTAAAGTGCTGATATGGCACATTACATGCACATCTGCCACTGGTACAGGGATCCCTGCACCTACCAATCATCCTCTGGTACTTGATCCTCACTCACTTTGGTTCTATCTAACTCTAATTAGGCAATAGGTTGCCTCATTTGAGAACTAGTGAGACGGTCATGCATTTAGATTTCTCACTGCCTAACAAGAAAAAAGGGCAGATTAAGAATTTAGGTACAGTGACATCAAAAAAGGTGGTGAAACATCATATGCTAACCCTTCCTTGAAAGGTTCCTTTGATGTCTGGTCATTCAGTTCTTTGTCTGTAATGCAGTTGGTCTGTTGACCAGTTTTCCTGCTCTCTGTAATTCTGGTCCTGTATGCTCTCATCTGATACCATTAGAGAAATCCACAAAAATCAAGTAAGTAACCTCGTAAAGTGGATAATCCAGCCAAGCAGCAAATAAAAAAGAAGAATGTACAGAAAATACAAACATGAATGCTGAGCAAAAAATGGATTGATTGGCATGATGTCTTTGTTGGTGGATCTGGAGTTGCAGCTTCCATGTCCGATGATCTAGACAGAGTGGATGGAAAGCTCAGTGCCCTCACATGCAATGTTGTGTTATTCAAGGCTGACCCGGGCACTCATGTGAGAGAAAATATAGAACATGAGACGATCTACACAATATAAAGAGGAAGGATGAGAAAATTGTTTGTACAAGAAAAGTGAACTGAGTTTTTTGTGAGGTTATTTATATAGGAGGAGATATTAGAATTTCAAGAGGAGATGTGAGAAGAGAGAAATGGTGTCAAGAAAATGCATTTTGGAGTTGTGGAAGGTGATAAGTACAGAGAGGAAGTATGGAAGGTAAATGGAAGGACAAAACATGCACATATGTCAGTGGATTAATACCATGAATATACTGTTAAGAAACAACAAGTGAGGTGAGAGAGATATGAAAAAGTTAAGTGTGTAACTTATTGTGTTTTAATTATATACGAAAAAAACAATAAATGCTTTTATAAATGAGGTCCAACTTTCATTTTATATCACGTTCATGGCTCATATGGAAGAATATTGAAAATTACCTGGAGTGCTCTTTTTGTGACTATGTCCCATGGTACAGTATGTTAAGTTCCTATAAATACCATAACAAAACATGTTGCACAAGTAATGTAAATGGCATAGAAAGGAAATGATACAAACAGACAAAGACAAGCTAGATGCTTTTCTCAAAGCTATATGTATTTTCTGATGCCTTAACCCTCCCCCTTTTATATACATTTGAACTCTCCTTTTCTTTATCTTGTAGCCCTTCCAGTTATTTTTTTTACTTACATGCTTTTTCTTTTTGTGAACCCAATGCATTTAAATTTTTTTTTTTATTATTTGTTTTTAATTCCCATAGTGATAGAAATGGAAAGCATGGACTTATTGAGTTTGAGACTGAAAAGATGTTTTCAATAAATTTAAGAGCGATATTTGTCTTCACGATACTTCCACAAGAATAAACTTAAGCCCGGTTTTACAAAATTGCACTTTTATGTAGTTTACTTCATTTACCATTCTTGTCTCTCTCCTATTGAAAACATTTGGAAAAATAGAAAATTAAAAGGCATAGTAATGGTTCATTGCCAACATGGAAATTGATGGATGCCAACATATGGGCTTTGGTTAAACCATGGCTGGTGAAGGACCTTTTTGTACAGTATGTATAGTCAAGGAATATAAACAGTCATCTGTAGACACGCTCTACAAAGGAGTATTGTGAGATTTGCTCACTAATCACTTCACTTGTGTTGCTTTATCCTGATTTTAAAAATGACAAATAAAAAAATATTTTCTTACAGTCATAATTCTTTGAAATACTTTTGTACCAACACAGCAATAACGTAAACCGTCAGCTCAGTCACGTGGGTTTTTATTTTCCTTTTTTGATTAAAACTGAAGTATTTTAATGAAAAAAGTATATGTAATCTACGTTCTCCAAATCATGGCTGAACACTATGCCAATCTTTATTGCCATCCACATGGAAGATACAGCCTTGGGAAATATGTCAAAGAGACAATAATTCTTAGTAATAGCATGCCTTTGGGACAATGGAGGCTGAATACTAATCCCTGGTGGTCAAGTGGGTGTATTATGTGGTCTGTATCTGTGGTTTTTGCTCCAGTGGCTAAACAAGTGTAAGCTCACCTGCCACATCAAGGAAAAACCTTTTAGGTAGTCCTACACTAACAATTCACCTTGCTGCTTTCAGCTAAGTAAAATATCTAGGAGGGATATTTTTCTAAACACCAACACACTTATTAACCCTTAATAGAGGGAACGCGTGTAAGCTCACCTGCCACCTTACTCTTAAATGGCCATTGCAGTGATACTAAAAAACCTCCAGTTATTTATATGTGCATAGGGATTTGGGATAGTGCACAAGTAACTTTTTGTAATTTTTTTAAATTGTGTTTTATCAGGGCTGATGTGTACTATATTCATTGCTGCAGCCCAGAAATAGTGGAAATTTGAGAGCATAGCTTAATTATGTATGTTTGCATTTGCTTTAGTATTTCACAGCACTGTAACAGTGCTATTGCCTGCCCTATTTGTTCCCTATTAAGAGTTAATAAGGGTTAGAATACCCCTCTCTGTCTCAGTAGAAATTTTAGTGAATTGTTAGTGTAGGTGTCATGGTTCTGATCAGGGCAGACAAGAGACTTATACCGGGGTTGACTTTATGTTCTTTATTGGAATTCATTGACATGTTTTTGACTTAAAATAATAAGTGAAGTAGGACTTGAAGGGAAATGGAAATAATATAGACAAAGTAGGAAGCAGATAATATAAAAACGGGATTAAAGGTAAGTATAATGGAAGATTACAGAAATAGTGGTTTCGACAATAAGCCCCAGACAGGTTATTCTATAAATGAGATTATAGACAGAAGGTAAAGGAGAACCTATAAACGGAATTATAGGCTAGCGGGAAGAAGGAGAACCTATAAGCGGAATTATAGGCAGTATAAGGAAAGAACAGAAATAAAGAGTTGGGCAACATGCTTCAAGAGAAATAAGGAGTTACGCAATATGCCCCAAGCAGTTTATCAGCTCTCAGGAGAACCTATAGGAGAAATTATAGGTGAGGAGAATTAGGAGAACCTATAAATTGAATTAAGGTTGAAGGAAGTGGAGAACCTATGAACAGAATTATAGGTAAAAAGAAAGGACAGAAATACGAGTTAAACAATATGCCCCAAGCAAGTTATCAGGTAACAGGTAAATAAAGAGAGGGAAAACCTATGAGAGAAATTATAGATTATTGGCAAACATAATATAATAAAGACAGAAACAAACATATGAAGGTTTAACCCCTTAAGACCGGAGGGCGTACAATTACGCCCTATTTTAGGCGGCTCTAAATGCCGCCGGGCGTAATTGTATGCCCTCCGGTCTTTTCTTACTTACCCGGTAGCCGGCGGTCCCACACCGGCGATCGCGGTGGGGGGGACTCCCAGGGAGCCCCCCCCATGGTAGATCCTCCTCCTCCGGTGCCCCCCGGCCATGTGAGAGTTAGGTCCTTGCGAGGACCCCACAATCACATGGCTGGGTAGGCTGCCTCCTCTGCATTGCCAGCAGGGGGGCTGCCTGTAATGACAGGTGGTCCCCCTGCTGGCTGGAAATAAAATTAAAATCAATTAATAAAGTTTAAAAAAAAAATATATATATATATATATATATACTTAGATCATATATATATTGCATATATATATGATCTAAGTATATATATACATATACATACACACACACATACACTGTATAGGTGTATTTTACTATTAATATATATATAATTATATATATATATTAATATCAAATTACACGTAGACTGATACTGATTAAATATATATATATATATATATATATATAATTATTGTTATATATATATTTATATATAATATAAAAAAATAATTAAAAAAATAATTAAAAAATATATAGATGTGTGTTATTTCGTTCTAACTGTATTGTGATATTAATATATATATATATATTTATATCAAAATATATGTAGAACGAAATAATATATATATCTACATACATAAATATATACGTATATATCACTATATATATACCTATATATAAATAACAATATTTAAAAAAAATTATATATATATACACATATAGATTCACATACATATATATATATACATATATTAATTCTACATATATATTTATGTAATATTTTTACATAATTAGGTATCTTAATTAATTACAATTAGCGGGACCTGCCTGACAACCCATGCCAAAAGTAAAGGGAATTTAATTTTCTAGCACTATATTTAACCCTATACCTTTCCAAGACACCATAAAACCTGTACATGGGGGGTACTGTTCTACTCGGGAGACTTTGCTGAACACAAATATTAGTGTTTCAAAACAGTAAAATGTATTACAACGATGATATCACCAGTAAAATTGACGTTTTTTGCATTTTTCATGCACAAACAGCAGTTACACGGAAGATATTATTGCTGTGATACTTTTTACTGTTTTGAAACACAAATATGTGTCTTCAGTAAAGTCTCCCGAGTACAACAGTACCCCTCATGTACAGGTTTTATGGTGTTTTCAAAAGTTACAGCATCAAATATAAGGCTTGCGTTTCATTTTTTTCACATTAAAATTCGCCAGATTGGTTACGTTGCCTTTGAGACCCTATGGTAGCCCAAGAATGAAAATTACCCCTATGATGGCATACCATTTGCAATAGTAGACAACCCAAGGTATTGCAAACGGGGTATGTCCAGTCTTTTTTAGTAGCCACTTAGTCACAAACACTGGCCAAAATTGTCATTTTTTGCATTTTTCACACACAAACAAATACTAACGCTAACTTTGGCCAGTGTTTGTGACCAAATGGCTACTAAAAAGACTGGACATACCCCATTTGCAATACCTTGGGTTGTCTACTATTGCAAATGGTATGCCATTGTAGGTGTAAATTTCATTCCTGGGCTACTATAAGGCAACGTAACCCATCTGGCGAATTTCAATTTCAAATGTAACGTGCTATATTTGACCTTGTAACTTCCCAAAACGCCATAAAACCTGTACATAGGGAGTACTGTTTTACATGTGCGACTTTGCTGAATACAAATATGTGTATTTTATTGCAGTAAAAGCAAACAGTATTATGACATTGACAGTTAAAATGTCATGTAGAACTAAAAAAATCAAAAAAATCTTATTTTCTCCCATTTTATTCATATTAAATTATGTTTCATAGCTAAATATTTGATATTAAATGAAAGCCCTGTCCTGGCCTTCCTCTTTAAAACAATATTAATGGAAAGCTCCCTTTCTGAGAAATATCCTTATTCCAGTAAGTTGTCTCCTTTATGTCCTTTACTATATTAATGGACCTTTCTCCTACAAAGCTTCTCAAATGTGACATAATGTTTAGGAAAATAGGTGCTTTCAGTCTGAAGTCTCTAAAAACATTTATCTTTATCTTAAAGCAAATAGTAACTGCAAGCATTGTTTTTTATTGTTGTGTTACATAATGTCATCATAAATGTTTTAATTTTTAATTTTAACCTACTCTCCAGGACATTAAAGTGAAATAAGCTTATATATATATATATATATATATATATATATATATATATATATATATATATATATCATAGTTGAATTATAATATAATTGATTCCATATTTTTGGGGTATTAAGTAACATTATTGCCAAACACATCTGGCGATATAAAGGGAGAATTCTCTCTCCTGAGCCTGTGACAGAGAATATGTAATTATTCAAACAGTGGCTCAAATGTAGATATAGTGGAGATTAAATATAATAATCAACAGATCATTCTCTACATTCATACATTATTCTCCAACCAAAATATGTTCTAACTAATTAAGTATTTTTTCTAATACATAAATGATGATGCATGGACGAGTTAGGAAGTTCACACATTTATTAAAGTCTTAGAACATTTAAGAAATAGTTTTAATTTGACGCAAAGGTGCTCTGGATCCAGGAGTTGTAGTTGCAGACCTTGGCGTGGACTCCGGGGTAATTCCTCAAAGCACAGCCATATCCCCAGGACACAATACCCTGGAGCTGGCCACCAGAATCACCCTGTGGGAAGGAGAGAGAATGTAAAATATTAAAAAATATATAGTCGATATATACATTCATTTATAGGAGCTTTAATGATAGAGTCATGGATTTGTAGATATATTTCATTTCCCCACTGTACATTTTAAATCAAACAGTGATTGTCAGATACATTACCTGGCAGGAATCCTTGCCACCTTCAACGTAGCCAACACAGATCATGTTAGTGGTGATCTGTCCTGGGTAGGCATTGCTACACTGAGCACTTGTCAAGATGGGTGCATTCAGACACTGCAGAAGACTTGGGTAATTGGCTGAAATAAAATGGAATAAAATTATAAGTTGTTACATGTGCACACTCTTTATAAGTTCATTGGAGTATATTATCCCCATTAGGTACTGAACTAAAAACATTGCAAACAAATATTATTTATATCATTCTTCCTTTACCCAGAATCTTAATCAACCTATTAATTCACTATTTGGCTGTCACCGTATACCAACCTTTGCTGAAAATGACAAAATGGAAAGACCAGTATGTAATCAAACAGCCACTTACCACTTTCTGTATATGAACTATTAACTAGTTATTGCGGGTAATGAAAGAAAATGTTCTACCATTTAGCTATTATATTGTAATCCTATTGTATACTGAAAATAACAGAATTTAGAGTCTTTTAAATTTTAGATGATAATTGAAGATTATGCTAGCGCAGTGTACTAATAATCTTAATTTTAATAATGACAGGAGGCGAGTATTTGCATCAACTTTCTTTACTAGCTCCATAGCAGCAAAGAAAAAAAAAAATCATTAAAGAAAGAACCAATCAGAGTAGAACAGAGGATATATAAGTCCCAGCGTAGCCATCCATTTCCTCTTGACTACTGCGACATCACAAGATCCAAATGTAGTAAGAAGTCCGTAGTAACTTAATTCCAACTGTCATAACGAAATCCAACATGGTCATAACAATGGCCTCTTCAGCCTTTCCATCGTCCCTGTGGTTTGTCAAACTGAAAAGAGAGAGAGAGTAGTATCACTGATACGGGAATGACCAAGGAAAAACCAATTGTCTGTAACGAATCAACTAGTTAATAAAGACGTCTAAAGATTCACCATACCAACTAGAGCAATAGCCCTATAATAAATATATCTGTATAAAATGCTAATCCAAATAAATGAGTCCAGATAAAGAACCAATCTACTCCCACCAACTACTTACCTCCATCTGGGCGGGGACTTTATGAGAATGAAAAGGGTGGGAAATACTCGCCTCCTGTCATTATTAAAATTAAGATTATTAGTACACTGCGCTAGCATAATCTTCAATTTTATAACATGACAGGAGGCTTCGTATTTGCAGTTTTAACGCTTAGGTAGGAGAGCGAAAGCGGCATTGGACGACTGGCGGAAATAGAAGGTCCGAAAGGTAGATTCCCGGGACCAATCTGCCGTGTGTAGGATATCCGCCAGAGAGGCGCCTGCTAAAAATGCCGATGATGCCGCTGCCCCTCGAACGGAGTGTGCGCCAAATGAGGCGTCTACCCCGGCTAGAGTGAGAATCCATCTGACCCATCTGGCCAATGTGATGACCGAGACCGGCCGTGTGGAGTCACATATGATACCAAGAGTTGTCGTGCGGACGGTGAGCGCAAGCCTTCCGTTGCTGACACGTAGGCTCGGAGGGTCCGGACCACGCATAGCTGGGGATCCGAATTGAAAAACGGATAGAATACTGATGCTGTATTGGATTTATTACGTTGCGATATGTGGAACGTGACTCCTTCGGGTCCAATGGAGAAAGCGTCCTTATCGAAAGTCCGAACGTCCGCCACTCTCCGGAAGGACACCATGCACAACAGGAAGGTGAACTTCGCCGTCAGTTGTTTCAATGAGAGCTGGTCATTGGGAGGCCAGTTCCTGAGGAAACGAAGGACTATCTCCACATCCCAGAGATGTTGGTATTTAGGTGCTGGTGGTCTCCTTAGTTTGATGCCCCGCAGCAGGCGGCATATTAGCGGATCCTGTCCGACTGCCCGTCCTTGAGACGGCACGTGCGCCGCCGAGATAACTGACCTCGTGACATTTATGGTGCGGTATGACTTCCCATCCTCGAATAGGGTCGAGAGAAAATTCATGACCTCGGAAACAGGGGCTGTAAAGGGATCCAAGTCCCATCCCACGCACCAACTGGTCCAAGTTCTCCATGCGGATAGATAGCTTCTCCGTGTTCCTGGGGCCCAGGAATCCCAAAGGAGGTCCTTAGCCGTTGACGATAACTCGTCGGTACGCCAGGTTCCCCTGAAAGAGTCCAGGCCACTAAGGTCAGACGGCCGTCCGACACCATCGGATGTGCGTTCCCCGCCGGGTCCCTGAGTAACATGTTGTCGTTCGGTAGGAGGATCGGGTCCTGATAAGACATTTCGAGAAGGTCCGGGAACCAAGGCTGACTCGGCCAGAGGGGCGTCAGCAGGGTCAGTCGAACCCTTCGTCTGCGAAGGTGATTGAGAACTCTGGCAATCATGGCGAATGGGGGAAAGGCATATGCCCCTTGTTGTGGCCAGTGCTGAGTGAAGGCATCTACCGCTAAGCAATCCGGGTCCGGTAGCCAGCTGTAGAATTGCGGGACCTGACGGTTGTTTCGTGAGGCAAAAAGATCCAGTATGAAGGGTCCCTTCTGGTCCTGTAGGTGTGCGAATATTCGCGGATCCAGCTGCCAGTCGCTGGCATCCCTCCAATGAAGGGAGTACCAATCCGCCGTGAGGTTCGTCTCCCCCGGCAGGTGCTCTGCCCGTAGTGAGATATTGCGCGGGAGGCAGTAGTCGAAGATTTCCTTCGTCAGATGCGCCAGGGTTCTCGACCGGGTGCCCCCCAAGCGGTTGATGTATCGTACCGCGGATACATTGTCCATTCTTAACAGTATACAGCAATTGGACTGCCCTTTTGTGAGGCTGCGGATAGCAAAGGCGCCCGCTAGCAGTTCGAGGCAATTGATATGCATCGACAATTCCTGTGGTGTCCACGTGCCCCCTGTGGCCGTTTCTCCATCCGTGGCGCCCCAACCTAGGCGACTCGCGTCCGACTCCAGGATGAAGTCCGGTTGACTGCCGAATATGGCCCGACCATTCCAGGCCTGCATGCAGTGGAGGTAAATTATGCATCTGATCCCGCGTGTTCGGAGGTGGGAAACCACCGGTTTTAGCATCTTTGTGAAGCACCATGGTGCTGAGCTCAGTCCGAACGGAAGGCATGTGAATTGCCATGGTGTGCCGTTCCACAGGAAGCGGAGAAATGGGCGGCTGTCTTTGTGGATTGGAATTGTGAGATAAGCGTCCTTGAGGTCTAGCCGCGTAAACCAATCCTTTTCTTGGAGGAGATCCCGCAATAAATGGATGCCCTCCATTTTGAAGTGGCGGTAGGTCACGAACATGTTTAGCCCTCTCAAATTGATCACTGGCCGGAAATCCCCGGTCTTTTTGCGGACCAGGAACATGTTGCTGAAGAATCCTCCCCTTGTGTGCGCTGGTTCTATAGCGCCCTTTACGCGAAGCTCGCGGAGTTCCCCATGTATGAGGCGAGTGTCCGCAGCCGAAAGACGCAAAGGATAAGGGGGAAACCTTTGAATGGGCTGTGATCGGAGTTCTATTTGATATCCTTGGACGGTCTGTAGCACCCAAGCGTCCGTGGACAGCAGGGCCCAATTCTGGGAAAAAAGTGAAACACGGCCTGCAATCACAGTTACAAGAGGTACCGAACAAAGGTGGTCTCTTACCTGTAGGGAATCGTGCACGGCCTCGTCCTCGACCGCCCCGTCCTCTGTCAGAACCCCTCTGGTAGTAGGGGAATGGTTGTTTGGCTCCGCTGCCTTGGTAACCTTGTTGAGGGAAGAATTGGTGCTGAAAGCCCATACGGGGGCCTGAAGGCCAGAAACGGCTGGCGGCACGGCCCCGCTGCCGACCAGCCCTTGAAAAAACACCCTTTGCGGAGGTACCTCGGAATACCTTACGCATAGACGTGCGGGCTCTACTCAAGGAGGTAAAGACGTTTACGTGCTTGTTCAATTCTTTCATAAAAGCTTCACCAAAGAGCTTGCCCTGTGCCTGTGGGCCCAATTCTTTGACCCCGAGGTCAACTAATTTGGGGTCGATACGAAAAAGTGCTGCCCGGCGCCGCTCCGTAGAGAGGGCCGCATTTGTATTACCGAGGAAACAAAAGCCCCTCTGGGCCCACTCTCGGATATCATGTGCCCATTCTCGTATCATGTCTGCCGTGAAGGAGTCCGCTCTGGCGTATGCTTCGTCTGCCAGGTACATAACTCGGGCCAAAGGGCCCATTGTGTCTAGGAGTTTATCCTGAGCTCCTTTGAAACTCTTCTCAATCCCCCTCCGCGGGTCGCGGCCCCCTTGTTCCATAAAGGTCAGCATAAGCTGATCAAATTCCGGCGTATAGGCCACTTTATCTGGCAGGGTAGGTCTCGGGCACTCTGCCCGCATCCTCTTGCGGACGTGTTTTTCCAAAGGTTTCCTGATCCAAAAATGCATGAAGCAGAGGAGATGATCCGGAGGGGCCCACTCACTCGAACGAGGGTGGCGAATCTTCCTGGGATCAAACATTCTCTGGCCAGTGGAGTCCAGGAATATCTCCTGTTCCTGCGTGGCCGTGGCGGGGGGTTCCGCATCTCCTTTCTGCTGGGGCTCACCCAGAAAAGTCTCGGTGACGTAGGCGTTGGAGCCCCAACCGCCTTCGTCCGAGTCGGAGGATCCAGCCTGCCACTCATCCAGAATGGAGAGAGAGTGGGGCACGTCTTGCTCCTCATCTGAGGAGACCTCCCCAGTGTACACGGGAGGTATCTGAGTAGTGCGTTTATCACGCTTCATAGGGGCCTTGCCTTTGAAGGCGGCTTTCTTGGAACCTTCGCCCTTCCAGTGGCGTTTCGCCGGGCGCTTCCTTTCTCTAGTGGAGTCCTCTGACTCATCAGAGTCTTCGTGAGCCTGGTGTGGCTTGTTAGACAGCGCGTTAGATTCAGCGGGGGCAGGAGCCGCCTTTGCCAGCGCCTTCTCCAGAGACGCAGCTACCGCTGCGTTGATCATTGCTTGAAGGTCACTGGTATTAATTGTGTCCTCCATTGTGGGCACCAACAGAGACTAACAGGCACAGGTATAGGTATGAGAGGTGAGGGACCGTGCGGGAGGGACTCAGGTTAAAACGCTCAGTGGCGTGGTACCGGACTCCTAATCGCTGGGGCTCACCCAGGGTCACAGGGAGCTGCTTGGACAGTTCCCGCTATGCAGCACTCAATGGGGGCTCACCCCTAGCCAGGATAATGGGGTAAACCCTACTGGCAGGCTAACCTAACACCACCCCTACTGAAGTGGGGAGGGGGGGGGGCGCTGGGAGAGGCAGTTCCCAGATACCAGAACAGCCTCAGCCCAGTACCCTGCATCAAAATGAACGCAGCTCCCCTGACAGGGAAGGTGAACCTTCTCAGTTTGTCCCCCTGGCACCCAAGCAAATAAAGAATAAAAGAAATATAGTAGAAAATACAACTATATATGAGCAGAGAAAAACAAACATCAATAACATCTAAAAGAAACCTGACAGGAATCTTAAAGAAATAGTACTCTGACCTGACTTGTGATGGAGCAGCAAAGAAAGAGGAAATGGATGGCTACGCTGGGACTTATATATCCTCTGTTCTACTCTGATTGGTTCTTTCTTTAATGATTTTTTTTTTTTTTCTTTGCTGCTATGGAGCTAGTAAAGAAAGTTGATGCAAATACGAAGCCTCCTGTCATGTTATAAAATTCCCTAACGTTGTGATTTCTAAAGGCCATGTTACCAGCTCTACTCAACAAATTTGACCAGTTGAGAGTTTTATCAATTTCACCCTATTGCATATTATTTTTAGCACCATAAAATGGAGAGATGGGTTTCCACACAATATATGTCAAAGGTTTAAAACTCTTTTTGTTTGGGGGAAAAACTATCAATCTTAGCCTTCATTTTCCTAATCCTGAAATGTAGATGTAATATTATGACGTTCTCTTTGTTCTATTTATGTCTCGATGCATCTTGGTAACGCCAATCAAATTAGAGAAGAGAAAAAAAAAGTTATAGTTGCACGGAGGTATACTTCAGACACCTCATAAAAACATATAAAGGTATACTTCAGACACCTCAACTTGCTCAAGTGCTTTGAGGGTTAACTGCATATTCATCTTGGCCTATTCACAAATATGTCATTATTTTTAGTTTTGGGGTGCAAGTGTCTTTAATAAGGTTAAAGGAACACTTTGCACAATAAAAAGGAATTCTGTTTTTTTCCATTGGAGTGTTCCATTAACAATATACAATGATATAATAAGATATGTATTCAAAATTACTGATATTTTCTTTCACCTGATTTGAGTGTGTTTAACAGTATTCAATCATTTTCTAACAATATAAATGTAAAGTAAGAAATGTTAAGATATAAGCCCTTCATTTTTTTTTACTCTAAGCATTAATTTGTTTCGATATGCTATATGCAAACCATTTCTAATAAAAACTTACTTCCACTGCTGAGTGTGTTTCCCCAGCCAGAAATCAGACAGCTGGTTCCGGCAGCAGCACAGCCAGAGGGCAGAGACACAGTCTTCACATAGCTGTTGAGGGTGGCGGCACTAGCAAGTTTGATCAACATGATGTCGTTGTCGGTGGTCCTGGAGTTGTAGCTGTGATGTCTGATGAACTTGACAGAGTTAATGAACTGCTCAGTGCCCTCACTTACATCGATGTTTTGCTCTCCCAGTCTGACCTGAACACTCCTGCATGAGGGAAACATAGGACATTTTTAAGAGAGAGTCAACACATTGGTCGAATTTAATTCTTTCAGAATATGGATTAATTTATACATTTCTACAAAAATTTTCTTTTGTAATTTCATTCCTCTATATCAAAATTAAGTGAAAGATATGAAACTTAAGCCTTGTAGCAATGGGCAGCAGACACCACCCATAGGCTGGTAACCAGGGTACCTCCACAGAAGTGATAGCCAGAGTTGAGGGATACGATGTATGCAGTGACATATTAGCCGCGAGGCAAACAAGGCATTTGCCTTGGGCGGCATTTTTCAGGGGGCGGCAAAAAACGCTGGTTGCTGGGCGTGTTGATGATGTCATATTCCGGCTCCCAGCCTCACTCTGAGGCGCGCGAGGGAGCTGAGCAGACCGCTCAGAGGAAGTGCTCCCTCGCCAGACACCCGTCCAGCAGCCAGCCCATCAGCCCGACCGGCAGCCAATGGACCACCAAGGAGAAAGAGGAACCCCCCCCAGCACTCCCAAAGGTAAGGAGGCAGGGGGGGTTAAATAAAAAAAAAAAAAGTGTTAATGTGAGTGATTGTGTGTGTGTGTCTGACTGTGTGTGTGTGTGTGTGTTTGTGTCTGTGTGTTTGTGGCTGACTGTGTGTGTGTGTCTGACTGTGTGAGTGTGTGTATTTGTGTGATTGTGTGTTTGTGTGTGACTGTGTGTGTGTGTTTGTGTGTGTGTCTGACTGTGTGTGTGTGTGTGTGTGTGTTTGTGTGTGTGTCTGACTGTGTGAGTGTGTTTGTGTCTGACTGTGTGTGTGTGTATGTGTGTTTGTGTCTGACTGTGTATGTGTGTGTGTCTGACTGTGTGTGTTTGTGTCTGACTGTGTGCGTGTGTGTGTGTTTGTGTGTGTGTGCCTGACTGTGTGTGTGTGTTTGTGTCTGACTGTGTGTGTGTGTCTGTGTGTGTGTGTTTGTGTCTGACTGTGTGTGTGTGTGTGTTTGTGTCTGACTGTGTGTGTGTGCCTGACTGTGTGTGTGTGTCTGGGAGCAGTGAGTGGGGGGCATTACATTTATTATATATATATATATATATATATATATATTTATGCATATATATACTGCTCAAAAAAATAAAGAGAACAGTTAACCTCTTAAGGACACAACTTCTGGAATAAAAGGGTATCATGACGGAATATTTCCGTCATGTGTCCTTAAGGGGTTAAACAACTCCAAGTCAATCACACTTCTGTGAAATCAAACTGTCCATGTAGGAAGTAACACTGAGTGACAATCAATTTCACATGCTGTTGTGCAAATGGGATAGACAACAGGTGGAGATTATAGGCAATTAGCAAGACACCCCAATAAAGGACTGGTTCTGCAGGTGGTGACCACAGACCACTTCTCAGTTCCTATGCTTCCTGGCTGATGTTTTGGTCACTTTTGAATGCTGGCAGTGCTTTCACTCTAGTGGTAGCATGAGACAGAGTCTACAACCCACACAAGTGGCTCAGGTAGTGCAGCTCATCCAGGATGGCACATCAATGCGAGCTGTAGAAAGAAGGTTTGCTGTGTCTGTCAGCGTAGTGTCCAGAGCATGGAGGCGCTACCAGGAGACAGGCCAGTACATCAGGAGACGTGGAGGAGGCCATAGGAGGGCAACAACCCAGCAGCAGGACCAATACTTCCGCCTTTGTGCAAGGAGGAACAGGAGGAGCACTGCCAGAGCCCTGCAAAATGACCTCCAGCAGGCCACAAATGTGCATGTGTCTGCTCAAACGGTCAGAAACAGACTCCATGAGGGTGTTATGAGGGCCCAACGTCCACAGGTGGGGGTTGTGCTTAAAGCCCAACACCGTGTAGGACATTTGGCATTTGCCAGAGAACACCAAGATTGGCAAATTCGCCACTGGCTCCCTTTGCTCTTCACAGATGAAAACAGGTTCACACTGAGCACATGTGACAGACGTGACAGAGTCTGGAGACGCCGTGGAGAACATTCTGCTGCCCGCAACATCCTCCAGCATGACCGGTTTGGCAGTGGGTCAGTAATGGTGTGGAGTGGCATTTCTTTGGGGGGCCGCACAGCCCTCATGTGCTCGCCAGAGGTAGCCTGACCTCAGACCCCTTGTAAGACCATATGCTGGTGGGGTTGGGCCTGGGTTCCTCCTAATGCAAGACAATGCTAGACCTCATGTGGCTGGAGTGTGTCACCAGTTCCTGAAAGACGAAAGCATTGATGCAATGGACTGGCCTGCCTTTTCCCCAATTGAGCACATCTGGGACATCATGTCTCACTCCATCCACCAATGTCAGGTTGCACCACAGACTGTCCAGGATGCTTTAGATAAGGTCTGGGAGGAGATCCTTCAGGAAACCATCCACCACCTCATCAGGCACGTGGAGGCCACACACACTACTGAGCCTCAGTTTGACTTACTTTAAGGACATTACATCAAAGTTTGATCCACCTGTAGTGTGTTTTTCCACTTTAATTTTGAGTGTGACTCCAAATCCAGACCTCCATGGGTCGGAAAATTTGATTTCCATTTTTTTATTTTTGTGTGATTTTGTTGTCAGCACATTTAACTATGTAAAGAACAACGTATTTCAGAAGCATATTTAATTCTTTCAGATCTAGGATGTGTTATTTTTGTGCTCCCTTTATTTTTTTGAGCAATGTATATGTGTGTGTATATATATATATATATATATATATATATATATGTGTGTGTGTTTATATATAATAATTCTACGAATATATTTATGTAATAATTTTACATAATTAGGTCATTATTTTAATTACAATTTGCGGGACCTGCCTAACAACCCCGGCCTAAAGTCCCGGGAATTTAATTTGCTAGCACTATATTTATCCATGTAACTTTCCAAGACTCCATAAACCCTGTACATGGGGGGTACTGTTTTACTCAGAAGACTTTGCTGAACTCAAATTTTAGTGTATCAAAACAGTAAAATGTATTACAACGATGTTATCGTCAGTGAACGTGACATTTCTTGCACTTTTCACAAACAAATGGCACTTACACGGATGATATAATTGTTGTGATATGTTTTTCTGTTTTAAAACACTAATATATGTTTTCAGCGAAGTCTCCCAAGTATAACGGTACCCCTTATGTACAGGTTTTATGCTGTTTTCAAAAGTTACAGTGTCAAATATAAGACTTGCATTTCTGTTTTTTTACATAAAAATTCACCAGATTGGTCACGTTGCCATTGAGACCATATTGTAGCCTAGGAATGAAAATTACCCCCATAATGGCATACCATTTGCAATAGTAGACAAGCCTTTTTTAGTATCCACTTAGTCACAAACACTGACCAAAAATAGCGTTCAAATTAGTTTTTTGCATTTTTTTTACACACAAACAAATATGACCACTAAATTAGGTCAGTTTTTGCTATGAAGTAGCTACGAAAAATGACTGGACATACCCCATGTGCAACACCTTGGGTTGTCTACTATCGCAAATGGCATGCCATCAAGGAGTTATTTTCATTCCTGGGCTACCATACGGTCTCAAAGGCAACGTAACCAATCTGGCGAATTTCAATGTGAAAAATGTAAAAATGTAACATGCTATATTTGCCCCTGTAACTTCTCAAAACACCATGTAACCTGTACATAGGGGGTACTGTTTTACATGTGAGACATCAATACAAATATGTGTATTTTATTGCAGTAAAAGCAAACAGTATTATGACATTCACATTTAAAATGTCATGTAGAACTAAAAAATTTTACAAAATTCTTATTTTCTCCCATTGTTTATATTTTATTCGTATTAAATTATGTTTCATACCTAAATATTTTATGTAAAATGAAAGCCCTGTTTCCCCTGAAAAAAATTATATATTATAAGTGTGGGTGTACAAAATATGAAAAAGGTGAATTATGCCTTAACAGACATATAGCGCAAATTCAAGGTTTTGTTTACATTTTGTTTTGATCACAAATGATATCCCTGAATATTAGGTGTTTTCAAGTATTTATCCAGTTACTGTTTAGACATCTATACAGACTATTTGACAAAACATATTCTTCAGCAGAGAATTCAAAATCATTGTTGTTCTTTGTAACGGCACCCCCAGGCATAAAAGGGTTAAACCGCCGTTTAGTAGATCTTCCCTTCCAGAGACACAGACACAGCTACTGCAGAACCCCAAACTCCCGAACAGGATACCAAGTAGCACTCCAAATTCCCGAACTGGAACCTCACGAATAGCTGCTAGCAGCTGAACAGGAAAAGCACCCGAGCGGCTTACACTCCTGGCAATCAGTCTCTAACAGCATACAGTAAATCGCCCCAAGAACGAGACAAAGCTGCGTGTTGAGGGTCAAGCAGTGAACAGACAGAGCTGTGGGTTTATTGTGCTTATATACACATTCTTACACATTAGTACCACCCACAGGGTTTTGGAACACAACCAATAAACACATACCATACACTCAGACAATCCCACACAAAATCCCCCCTCCCTGCCTGTGATTTAATTACCTTACACAATGGGTAATGTAATTATCACAAGCAGAGAAATACAATTTTTCCACATTATTCATAACTTGAAAAGTATGCATCACATTCACATAAAATTAAATTTTCAGAATCAGCATACTCCAAATACAAACATACGTCAAAATCATACAAATTGGTCCAGTGGTTCAAAAGATAGATCTAAGTCCTTTGAGACCAAAGGAAGCATGACTTTTCTGCCCAAAACCAGTTCCACAGAGTCTTCTATCCTGGAGATAATTGTGAAGTAATCCAATTATCTCCCAGGACAGAGGCAAAACTCCACTGAACACATTGCAGCAAAAGACAATAAAACACATAAAAACATATAACTGTGCAGCCATTGTACAAAACAGGTACATTCAACATATCCCCAGATAGCTCAGAACTGAGCGCACATTATTACTGAATGGCGCTCAGAGCACACACATACAGTTCAATTGCCATGGAGCCAAAGTCTTTCCCATAGTCTTTCATTATACGAATGGGCTCCATGGCATAGCTATCTGGGTTATCACCGCTCAAATAGGGCAAGCACCAAATGACCCGGCTTTCATGTCTTTACAGGGGAAAATCAAGCCTTTTAACATGGGGCCATAATCCAAAGGCAACAGGCGAGCAACCAGGCTTCTCCAATGCAATGTGGCGAGATTGGTCTCGTCACATTCTTACTTTAAAAAACCCATCTCTTTGCCTTAGACTAAATTTCCTTCCTTCGATTCTAACTGTTTGACCTTGTGTCCTATATATTGTCCTATAGTCCTGTTTATGAACAGAGTTCAAGACAGTGGTTTCTAATGACCCTAAATTTATATTTGTATAATGCTATCATTTGCCCTCTAAGGCACTATTTATCTAAACAGATTTAATTTTATTAATCTTTATTTATAACTAAAATGTTAAATGTTAAATGCCATAATATCCTTCTTAAGAGCAGGTGCAAAAAATTGGACAGCATATTTAAGGTGTGATCTCACTATTCATTTATAAAGAGGCAAAATTGAATTTTTATCCAGAGAACACATTCACACATTATTATGACAATATGCTCTAACCTACTCAGTATTTTTATTAATATATAAATGATGATGCCAAGAAGTAGTTCGAAAGTTCATACATTTATTACAGTCTTGTACAAAACATTTAATGAACAGTTTTAGTTTGAAGCAAAGGTGCTCTGGATCCATGAGTTGTAGTTGCAGACCCTGGCGTAGACTCCTGGGTAGTTCCTCAAAGCACAGCCATATCCCCAGGACACAACACCTTGGAGCTGACCATTACAGACCACGGGGCCACCAGAGTCACCCTGAGGGAAGGAGAGAGAGAATGTAAAATATTAAAAGTATATAGTTGAAATATGCATTAAATCATAGAAGCTTTAAAGATATAGCCATGGATTTTGAGCTTTATTTCACTTCCTCACTGGAAATATAACATTTTAAACCAAACAGCAATTTTAAGATACATTACCTGGCAGGAATCCTTGCCTCCTTCAACGTAGCCAACACAGATCATGTTAGTAGTGATCTGTCCTGGGTAGGCACTGCTACACTGAGAACTTGTCAGGATGGGTGCGTTCAAACACTGAAGGAGACTTGGATAATTGGCTGAAATAAAATGGAATACAATTATTATCTGTTACATATGCACACTATTTATGAGTTTATTGTAGTATGTTATCGCTGTTAGGTATTGAGCTAAAAAGTTTTGCTAATAAATACTATTTATCTGATTCTTCAGTTGTCCTGAATCTCAATTGACTTATTAATTCACTATTTGCCTGCCACATCCATGCCAAACTTTGCTGAAGACCTCAACATTGAAAGACCAGCATGTAATCAAACAATATATCCTGTATATAAAATATTAACTAGTTGTTGAGAGTAATGAAATGTTTAATCATTTGTGTCTTTAGCAATATTAAATTTTGTGATGTAAATGTAAAATAAGACATGTTTAGTTATAAGCCCTTTACTTTTTTAACTCTAAACTGGAAGTTGTTTCCATGTGCTATTTGTCAAAGCAATTTCTAACATAAACTTACTTCCACTGCTGAGTGTGTTTCCCCAGCCAGAAATCAGACAGCTGGTTCCGGCAGCAGCACAGCCAGAGGGCAGAGACACAGTCTTCACATAGCTGTTGAGGGTGGCGGCACTAGCAAGTTTGATCAACATAATGTCATTATCGGTGGTCCTGGAGTTGTAGCTGGGGTGTCTGATGACCTTGGCAGAGTTAATGAACTGCTCAGTGCCCTCACTTACATCGATGTTGTGCTCTCCCAGTCTGACCTGAACACTCCTGCATGAGGGAAACATAGGACATTTTTAAGAGAAAGTCAACACATTGGTCGAATTTAATTCTTTCAGAATATGGATTAATTTATAAATTTCTACAAAAATTTTCTTTTGTAATTTCATTCCTCTACATCAAAATTAAGTGAAAGATATGAAACTTACGCCTTGTAGCAATGGGCAGCAGACACCACCCACAGGCTGGTAACCAGGGTACCTCCGCAGAAGTGATAGCCAGAGTTGAGGGATACGATGTATGGGACGGAGTTCTTGGTGCAGGTGTAACCTCCTACAATCTTATCATCATCATCCTCAAATGCAACTGTGGGCAGACAAAGAACATTTTTGTGTCACTATAATACTATAATCATGAGTTGTTGGGCTTGCTGCTATATTTTAGTCAACTACAAATATTGCATGTCTTATTGTGAATTACATATTGTATGGTGACATTCATACGGCTCAAAGAAAAGTACTTATATATTTTTTATTTTATAATAATTGCAACATTCCAAGATAGGAAACATTAGACATAATTAAAAAAATAATATAACATATAAAGAATCTTTAATATTTCCTTTCAAATACAAATGTGTTTATGGCAATAGTGGGTATTTTTATTATGTATTTACTTAGGTTTTTATTTTTTGCTTTTTTTTATTTTAAGCACATTATTAGTTGTTATAAAGTTGTGATGTCATAGACAACACAAAAGCAAACTTATCGTAAAGTTGAAACAAAATACTATAAACTGTGTTTTATTGAAAGTAGATCCATACAGTTGATCTGCAGAGAAAACTTACACAACATGGAGCATATTTACTATTAGAAAATGATGAAAAAAAATAAAAGTCATGACCTAAAAGTACACCATAGTCATCTAAAGAACTTTAGCTTAATGAAGCAGTTTTAGTGTAGAGATCATGCCTCTCGGGTTTCACTGCTCAATTCACTGCCATTTAGGAGTTAAATCACTTTGTTTCTGTTTATGCAGCTCTTGCCACACCTCCCGTGGCTCTGATTGACACAGCCTGCATGAAAAAAACTGGTTTCACTTTCAATCAGATGTAATTTACCTTAAACAATTTTATCTCTTGTTCTGTAAATTGAACTGTAAGCACATATAGGAGACTCTTGCAGGGCCTAGCAAGCTATTAATATAGCAGGGGATAAGAAAATCTAAATTAAACAGAACTTGCAATGAAGGAAGAATAAACATTAGCTTACTGTTTACAGGAAGTGTTTAGGAAGGCTGTGCAAGTCACATGCAGGGAGGTATGACTAGGGTTAATAAATAAAGTGATTTAACTCCTAAGTGGCAGATAATTGAGCATTGAGACTGCAGGGGCATGATCTATACACCAAAACTGTTTCATTAAGCTAAAGTTGTTTTGGTGACTATAGTGTCCCTTTAAATATGTCTGCAGCTGCATAGTATGAGTTAAACAAGTCCAAACTATTGTGGTGGAGAAATTGGTTAAAAATATATAACAATATTATTATTATATTATTATATTACTATATAATATTACATTATTTTTCAATTGACAAGGAAAGTACTACTACTAATAATAATTGTTACCAGCAGCTCCAAGGAGCACACAGATCAGAAGAAGCTTCATGCTGGAGGTATGCCTGTGGGGTGTTTTGGGGTAAAATTAAGTCAGTATTTATATATTTTTAACCAGAGTTACGCCTGCCCACATAGAATGTTATCATATTATGTAACTACTGCACAATCTGGTTAATGTGTACCAGAATTATAAGTAAGTACCTTATTATCAATAACCTTGAATTTAAACTTTTTCCAATACAGTCAATATGTTCTGCTTGTGCTTTTTTTTGTCTACTTAATCTTTTCTATTAAAACAAACTAAAAAGGAAAATAAAAATAGAGAGCTTGTACCATCTAGCAGGATATTTCAGATTTTCCAAAATGGAATGGAGATTGTTTGGGATTAATTGCTGTTAAATACTTAAGAGAAGAAGAACAAATTGTACCCCACTTGTTTCATACTTCAGATAGGTCAGAACAGGTTTACTCCTCTTTGGAGAGATGTTATCTGTAGTATCTGTATAGATACAGCACATTACTTGTCTACTGGGCAAACTTTACCCAATTTCTAATCTCTACTTGGAGAACATTTCTATCTATCTGTAAGATCAAGATGAATATTGTAACACTGCACTGAACAAATATTTTACCAGACCATTAGTCCCATACAGGGCCGGTGCAAGGATTTTTGCCGCCCTAGGCAAAAGTAAAGTTTTCCACCACACCCCCCATGTGACATCACAATGCCCCACCCATATGATCTGCCATGTTAACTAACGCCAGTGCTGCAGTGCCGCCGTATTTACATTAAAAGGCCTGCAGGGACAGGCTATAGACACCAGAACCACTACATTAAGCTGCAGTGGTTCTGGGGACTGTAGTGTTTCTTTAATGTGAGGAAAATTAGAGATTAGTGCCATGAATAATATATTAGATTGCCTACTTACAACCAGATGAGGATGATGATGGGCTCTAGCTGCAGTCTGGCTCCACTGGTCTGGTGTAGAACAGGCTCTCTGGAGGCGGTTTGTAACTCTGGTCATAAAAATCAATGTTCTGGGAGAACGGGTAGCAGCTCCATTTTTTGGGGGCCCTTTACACAGCTCAAGGTCTGGGTCCCAGGGTCCACCTTCACGTTCCACCAGTGAGTTTGTTCACAGGGGGTGGAGTGTGTAGGGGATGTCCTGATATGTGTGTAAGGAATGCATTGTGTGAATCTGTGTTTGTATGTGTAAGGGCTGCAAGGTGTGCTTCTGTGTATGTACGGGATGCACTGTGTGTGTCTGTAAGGGATGCATTGAGTGTGTGTAAGGGGTGCATTGAGTGTGTGTAATGAATGCATTGTGTTTCTGTGTGTGTAAGAGATGCATTGTGTGTAAGGGTTGCATTGCTTGTGTCTGTGTGTGTAATGCATTGTGTGTGTAATGCATTGTGTGTGATTGTCTGTTTGTGTGTGATGGATGTCTATCTCTTCTCCCCCCCTCACAATTTCCTTCTCCCCCCTCCTCCTCACAATTTCCTTTCCCCCCTCCTAATTTCCTTCTCCTTACCAATTTCCTTCTCCCCCTTCCAATTTCTTTCTCCCCCTCCCACCCTCCCAATTTCTTTATCCCCCCCCCACCACTGGTGTAGCGTGGCCGAGCTCTGTATGGTCCACGGGTACAGGGAGACAGATGCTCCCTGTACCCGCGGAACATACAGAGCTCGGCCACGCTACAGTGAGGGAGTGACAGGAGGGAGCGCTGAGCACTGAGCGCTTCCCTCCTGTCAGCCCCTCTCCTCATGCTGCGCCCGGGCGGTGCACCCTCAAGGACTCACCAACCCGGGCAAAGCTGCAGCCGCCTGAGGCTCGCTACAGAGCGCTGGGGCAGCTGCAGCATGAGGGGAGCTGGCGCTCCTGACGGCGCCCCTTCACAAGGGGCGCCCTAGGCGTCTGCCTAGTCCACCTAACAGGTAGTGCCGGCCCTGGTCCCATGAGTGGTATCACTTATAAATGTTATATCTGCATTAACTTCTATACATTTGCACATATATAATGACTAGAAAATATTTATTTCTAAAAACATGAGCATGTCCCTGATCTGCATTTAAATTTTGTTTTTCTACATTGGTTGTAGACTGGGGGGAACAGTAGTCATCTCCCCTCCTGTTTAATCCATGTCTTGGGGATAGGGAGGACATGAACCACCCACATTAAACATGTTTATGTCCCCCTTAGATGATCATGGATGGAACTGTGCCAGTCCCCTTCCCTGTATTTCATAAGTTTTTAATTAAAGTTGGTCACATGGTATCATCTTGTGATCTGCTGACTGCCATTGTATAACCTTTAATCTACTTTTCTAAATATTTCTCTATTTTCCTTTTTAATAGACTTTGATGAAAGACTTTTAAACTTCTGCTTTTTGGGAAGATTGTTATTCTTGCAACAAAGCTTAGCTGGTGGGGTTAGGAGTGTTCTTGAGAGAAGAAACACGTGTGACTGCAATGTATGATAAGCTAGGTGTGCGTGACAGGCTAAGGTACTGCCAGCAGGTGGGGGAATTGTCAAGTGCTGCAGGCCTTGAAGGGGCCCACCCCCAAAGGCCTGATTAGATATAAAAATATTATAAGTTTGTGTTCCTATAAAGAGCAACATGTAAACATTATGTAGTTACAAACCACTGACTATTTAACCCCTTAAGGACAGAGCTTCAAAAGCTTGTACATGGAATAATTTTGACTCATCCAAATCAAAATTTATTTGTGCAAATTGATTCAGCCAAATAAAATATTGTTAGTGTGCACAAGTCTATCATTTATTTTTTTACTCTGACTTCTGGCAGAATTCAAAAATATGTCATACTGCTACCACCACCAATGGCATTCATGCTCCACATAGGACCTTAGAAAATAAGAACATCAAAAAAGACATGGAAATGCAATAGTTTTCATTCTGTTAAGCCCCCTGTAGTTTACAGTTCTGTTAAACTAGAATTCTAGTTCTCACAATTCCTTTCAGATACAGCACACGTTTTCCTCCAACACAAGATATTGCCCACATATTTCTAAATACAAGAAATATAAAGTGTCAATGTTTGGAGATTTTAACATAATTTATATTGATTACAAATATAGTAAATACTGCTCTCTAAATACAACAAATTGCAACATTTCTAATTCACTTTAATCAAAAACACATCAGTATACTCTTGACTGGATCCTCTATAAGAAAAAGCGATACGTTTGCAGAACAGAGGGAAAAATACATGTTCACTTGTTCCACAATGACCAGCAGTTCATTCAAATATTAGGCAATAGACAGGTTGTCCAAATCCCTTAACTCTAAATCTTTATATGGACATATTCTCAAACAAATATGCATGTTTGCCTTGTTCCAAAAAAAAAAGTGGAAAGAAATTGAGAGACGCACAGTCACATATACACACACAAAGATGCATCCATGCACACGCATATTAAAACAAACATACACAGTCACAGGCAGACAGTCACATACACACATACACAACTGACTGATATGTTATCCAGAGTATAGATTTTGCCCTACACAATATATAACACTTAGTAGATATACCCTTATTGTAATCCATATTTAATAATTGAATAATACTGTAGAAACATGTATCCTTTTATGTGTAATGGCCTGCCCTCTATGGGATAAGTTGCATTATTTACCATCTTACTACAAGTTAATTTTCTACACTCGTCTTTTCGACATTCTGTTGTGCATGCCTAGCATAAATTTTTATAATTAATCGTGGATTTTTAACTTACACGCTATTGCATAACACTGATGCATAATTCTAGCATTTTTCTAGTGCTAGTGTCATATTCTGTGTTGTTACATTATAGTGTACTCTGGTTTGGAGCTATATCCCTGATGCTGTTACATGTCATGCATTCTGCACCTATCACTCTGAGCCCTCACGTGTACTCTATATGGGGTTAATAACATTGTTTTTGTTGTAAATATGTTGTATATAAGTATAGATATATTTTTCTTTTTGATTTGCTTTGAGTAGTTCACTCTACGTATTTAATAAATGATTCACTTTAGCAAAAGCTATTGCTGTTTGCAATTCATGATTACACATGTGATACACATTCCATATGATTCATTGCTTTCGCCCGCTCTCCCTCCAATCAACTCTTCACAATGTATATTTGGAGGACTGAAACGTTGACACCATTTACTGGAAATTTGATGCTTTGAATAAACAGCACGATTTGAAATAATTCCGAGTCCTGTGAGTGCACTTCAAACAAGGATTTATATATTTGGAGGTCAAAGTTTGCACCTGGGCAACAGACAAGACCGGGAGCAGTGAGTGCAGGGCATTAGGTTTATTACATATAAATATGTAATAAAGTATGTATATATACTGCTCAAAAAAATAAAGAGAACAGTTAAACAACTCCAAGTCAATCACACTTCTGTGAAATCAAACTGTCCATGTAGGAAGCAACACTGAGTGACAATCAATTTCACATGCTGTTGTGCAAATGGAATAGTCAACAGGTGGAGATTATAGGCAATTAGCAAGACACCCCAATAAAGGACTGGTTCTGCAGGTGGTGACCACAGACCACTTCTCAGTTCCTATGCTTCCTGGCTGATGTTTTGGTCACTTTTGAATGCTGGCAGTGCTTTCACTCTAGTAGAAGCATGAGACAGAGTCTACAACCCACACAAGTGGCTCAGGTAGTGCAGCTCATCCAGGATGGCACATCAATGCGAGCTGTGGCAAGAAGGTTTGCTGGGTCTGTCAGTGTAGTGTCCAGAACTTGGAGGCGCTACCAGGAGACAGGCCACTACATCAGGAGACGTGAAGGAGGCCGTAGGAGGGCAACAACCCAGCAGCAGGACCAATACTTCCGCCTTTGTGCAAGGAGGAACAGGAGGAGCACTGCCAGAGCCCTGCAAAATGACCTCCAGCAGGCCACAAATGTGCATGTGTCTGCTCAAACAGTCAGAAACAGACTCCATGAGGGTGTTATGAGGGCCCAACGACCAAAAGTGGGGGTTGTGCTTAAAGCCCAACACCGTGTAGGACATTTGGCATTTGCCAGAGAACACCAAGATTGGCAAATTCGCCACTGGCTCCCTTTGCTCTTCACAGATGAAAGCAGGTTCACACTGAGCACATGTGACAGACGTGACAGAGTCTGGAGACCCCGTGGAGAACATTCTGCTGCCTGCAACATCCTCCAGCATGACCAGTTTGGCAGTGGGTCAGTAATGGTGTGGAGTGGCATTTCTTTGGGGGGCCGCACAGCCCTCATCTGCTCGCCAGATGTAGCCTGACCTCAGACCCCTTGTGAGACCATATGCTGGTGCGGTTGGGCCTGGGTTCCTCCTAATGCAAGACAATGCTAGACTTCATGTGGCTGGAGTGTGTCAGCAGTTCCTGAAAGACAAAAGCATTGATGCAATGGACTGGCCCGCCTGCTCCCCAGACCTGAATCCAATTGAGCACAGCTGGGACATCATGTCTCACTCCATCCACCAATGTCAGGTTGCACCACAGACTGTCCAGGAGTTGGCAGATGCTTTAGTCAAGGTCTGGGAGGAGATCCCTCAGGAGACCATCTGCCACCTCATCAGGTGCATGCACAGGCGTTGTAGGGAGGTCATACAGGCACGTGGAGGCCACACACACTACTGAGTCTCAGTTTGACTTACTTTAAGGACATTACATCAAAGTTTGAACCATCTGTAGTGTGTTTTTCCACTTTAATTTTGAGTGTGACTCCAAATCCAGACCTCCATGGGTTGGAAAATTTGATTTCCATTTTTTTTTTTTTTTGTGTGATTTTGTTGTCAGCACATTTAACTATGTAAAGAACAACGTATTTCAGAAGAATATTTAATTCATTCAGTTCTAGGATGTGTTATTTTTGTGCTCCCTTTATTTTTTTGAGCAGTGTGTTTATATATATAATTCTACAAATATATTTATGTAATAATTTTACATAATTGGGTCATTATATTAATTACAATTTGCGGGACCTGCCTAACAACCCAGGCCGAAAGTCCCGGGAATTTAATTTGCTAGCACTGTATTTAACCCTGTAACTTTCCAAGACACCATAAAACCTGTACATGGGGGGTACTGTTTTACTCACAAGACGTTGCTGAACACAAATATTAGTGTTTCAAAACAGTAAAAGGTATTACAACGATGATATCATCAGTGAACGTGACATTTCTTGCACTTTTCACACACAAATGGCACTTACACGGATGATATAATTGTTGTGATATGTTTTACTGTTTTGAAACACTAATATACGTTTTCAGCGAAGTCTCCCGAGTATAACGGTACCCCTTATGTACAGGTTTTATGGTGTTTTCAAAAGTTATAGTGTCAAATATAAGACTTGCATTTCCGTTTTTTTACATAGAAATTCGCCAGATTGGTCCCGTTGCCTTTGAGACCATATTGTAGCCCAGGAATTAAAATTACCCCTACAATGGCATACCATTTGCAATAGTAGACAAGCCAAGGTATTGCAAATTGGGTATGTCCAGTCTTTTTTAGTAGCCACTTAGTCACAAACACTGGCCAAAAATAGCGTTCAAATTTGGCCAGTTTTTGCTATCAAGTAGCTACTAAAAAAGTGAAACACCTTGAGTTGTCTAATATTGCAAATGGTATGCCATCAAGGGGGTAATTTTCATTCCAGGGCTACCATACGGTCTCAAAGGCAACATAACCAATCTGGCGAATTTCAATGTGAAAAAACAGAAAAATTTAACATGCTATATTTGCCCCTGTAACTTCCCAAAACACCATGTAACCTGTACATAGGGGGTACTGTTTTACATGTGAGACATCACTGAATACAAATATGTGTATTTTATTGCAGTAAAAGCAAACAGTATTATGACATTCACAGTTAAAATGTCACATAGAACTAAAACATTTTACAAAATTCTTATTTTTTTCCTATTTTTTATATTTTATTCATATTAAATTATGTTTCATACCTAAATATTTGATGTAAAATGAAAGCCCTGTTTCCCCTGAAAAAAATTATATATTATAAATGTGGGTGTACATAATACTAAAAAGGTGAATTATGCCTGAACAGACATATAGCGCAAATTCAAGGTTTTGTTTACATTTTGTTTTGATCACAAATGATATCCCTGAATATTAGGTGTTTTCAAGTATTTATCCAGTTACGGTTTAGACATCTATACAGACTATTCTTCGGCAGAGAATTCAAAATCATTGTTGTTCTTACTTTAAAAAAACCATCTCTTTGCCTTAGACTAAATTTCCTTCCTTCGATTCTGTTTGACCTTGTGTCCTATATATAGTCCTGTTTATGAACAGAGTTCAAGACAATGGTTTCTAATGACCCTAAATTTATATTTGTATAATGCTATAATTTGCCCTCCAAGGCACTATTTATCTAAACAGATTTAATTATATTAATCTTTATTTATAACTAAAATGTTAACTTTTCAGCCTACCTCTGCACTTTTTATAGTGCCATAATATCCTTCTTAAGAACAGGTGCCAAAAATTGGACAGCATATTTAAGGTGTGATCTCACTATTGATTTATAAAGAGGCAAAATTGAATTTTTATCCAGAGAACACATTCACACATTATTATGACGATATACTCTAACCTACTCAGTATTTTTATTAATATATAAATGATGATGTCAAGAAGTAGTTCGAAAGTTCATAGATTTATTAAAGTCTTGTAGAAAACATTTAATCAACAGTTTTAGTTTGAAGCAAAGGTGCTCTGGATCCATGAGTTGTAGTTGCAGACCCTGGCGTAGACTCCGGGGTAGTTCCTCAAAGCACAGCCATATCCCCAGGACACAACACCTTGGAGCTGACCATTACAGACCACGGGGCCACCAGAGTCACCCTGAGGGAAGGAGAGAGACAATGTAAAATATTAAAAGTATATAGTTGAAATATGCATTAAATCATAGAAGCTTTAAAGATATAGCCATGGATTTTGAGCTTTATTTCACTTCCTCACTGGAAATATAACATTTTAAACCAAACAGCAATTTTAAGATACATTACCTGGCAGGAATCCTTGCCTCCTTCAACGTAGCCAACACAGATCATGTTAGTGGTGATCTGTCCTGGGTAGGCACTGCTACACTGAGAACTTGTCAGAATGGGTGCGTTCAAACACTGAAGGAGACTTGGATAATTGGCTGAAATAAAATGGAATAAAATTATTATCTGTTGCATATGCTCACTATTTATGAGTTTATTGTAGTATGTTATCTCTGTTAGGTATTGAGCTAAAAAGTTTTGCTAATAAATAATATTTATCTGATTCTTCAGTTGTCCTGAATCTCAATTGACTTATTAATTCACTATTTGCCTGCCACATCATTACCAAACTTTGCTGAAGACCACAACATTGAAAGACCAGCATGTAATCAAACAATATATCCTGTATATAAAATATTAACTAGAGATATGTAACAGGGTTGATGTTCCAGGAGGGATAAGCCAAATGACAAATGATTTAGGTAAACTAGAAAAATGGTCAGAATTGTGGCAACTGACATTTAATGTGGATAAGTGCAAGATAATGCATCTTGGAAGTAAAAACCCAAGGGCAGAGTACAGAATATATGATAGAGTCCTAACCTCAACATATGAGGAAAGGGATTTAGGGGTGATTATTTCAGATGACTTAAAGGTAGGCAGACAATGTAATAGAGCAGCAGGAAATGCTAACAGAATGCTTGGTTGTATAGGGAGAGGTATTAGCAGTAGAAAGAGGGAAGTGCTCATGCCATTGTACAGAACACTGGTGAGACCTCACTTGGAGTATTGTACACAGTACTGGAGACCGTATCTTCAGAAGGATATTGATACCTTAGAGAGGGTTCAGAGAAGGGCTACTAAACTGGTTCATGGATTGCGGGATAAAACTTACCAGGAAAGGTTAAAGGATCTTAACATGTATAGCTTGGAGGAAAGACGAGACAGGGGGGATATGATAGAAACATTTAAATATATAAAGGGAATCAACACAGTAAAGGAGGAGACTATATTTAAAAGAAGAAAAACTACCACAACAAGAGGACATAGTCTTAAATTAGAGGGACAAAGGTTTAAAAATAATATCAGGAAGTATTACTTTACTGAGAGGGTAGTGGATGCATGGAATAGCCTTCCAGCTGAAGTGGTAGAGGTTAACACAGTAAAGGAGTTTAAGCATGCGTGGGATAGGCATAAGGCTATCCTAACTATAAGATAAGACTAGGGACTAATGAAAGTACTTAGAAAATTGGGCAGACTAGATGGGCCGAATGGTTCTTATCTGCCGTCACATTCTATGTTTCTATGTTTCTATGTTTCTAGTTGTAGAGAGTAATGAAATGTTTAACCATTTGTGTCTTTAGCAATATTAAATTTTGTGATGTAAATGTAAAATAAGACATGTTTAGTTATAAGCCCTTTACTTTTTTAACTCTAAACTGGAAGTTGTTTCCATGTGCTATTTGTCAAAGCAATTTCTAACATAAACTTACTTCCACTGCTGAGTGTGTTTCCCCAGCCAGAAATTAGACAGCTGGTTCCGGCAGCAGCACAGCCAGAGGGCAGAGACACAGTCTTCACATAGCTGTTGAGGGTGGCGGCACTAGCAAGTTTGATCAACATGATGTCATTGTCAGTGGTCCTGGAGTTGTAGCTGGGATGTCTGATGACCTTGGCAGAGTTAATGAACTGCTCAGTGCCCTCACTTACATCAATGTTGTGCTCTCCCAGTCTGACCTGAACACTCCTGCATGAGGGAAACATAGGACATTTTTAAGAGAAAGTCAACACATTGGTCGAATTTAATTCTTTCAGAATATGGATTAATTTATACATTTCTACAAAAAATTTCTTTTGTAATTTCATTCCTCTACATCAAAATTAAGTGAAAGATATGAAACTTACGCCTTGTAGCAATGGGCAGCAGACACCACCCACAGGCTGGTAACCAGGGTACCTCCGCAGAAGTGATAGCCAGAGTTGAGGGATACGATGTATGGGACAGAGTTCTTGGTGCAGGTGTAACCTCCTACAATCTTATCATCATCATCCTCAAATGCAACTGTGGGCAGACGAAGAACATTTTTGTGTCACTATAATCATGAGTTGTTGGGCTTGCTGCTATATTTTAGTCAACTACAAATATTGCATGTCTTATTGTGAATTACATATTGTATGGTGACATTCATATGGCTCAATGAAAAGTACCTATATATTTATTTATTTTTTTATATTAATTGCAACATTGCAAGATAGGAAACATTAGACTTAATTAAAAAAAATAATATAACTTTTAAAGAATCTTTAATATTTCCTTTCAAATATAAATGTGTTTATGGTAATAGGGGTATTTTTATTATGTATTTACTTAGGTTTTTATTTTTTGCTTTTTTTATTGTAAGCACATTATTAGTTGTTATAAAGTTGTGATGTCATAGACAACACAAAAGCAAACTTATCGTAAAGTTGAAACAAAATACTATAAACTGTGTTTTATTGAAAGTAGATCCATACAGTTGATCTGCAGAGAAAACTTACACAACATGGAGCATATTTACTATTAGAAAATGATGAAAAAAATAAATAGTCATGACCTAAAAGTACACTATAGTCATCTAAAGAACTTTAGCTTAATGAAGCAGTTTTAGTGTATAGATCATGCCTCTCAGGTTTCACTGCTCAATTCACTGCCATTTTGGAGTTAAATCACTTTGTTTCTGTTTATGCAGCTCTTGCCACACCTCCCGTGGCTCTGATTGACACAGACTGCATGAAAAAAACTGGTTTCACTTTTAATCAGATGTAATTTACCTTAAACAATTTTATCTCTTGCTCTGTAAATTGAACTGTAAGCACATATAGGAGACTCTTGCAGGGTCTAGCAAGCTATTAATATAGCAGGGGATAAGAAAATCTAAATTAAACAGAACTTGCAATGAAGGAAGAATAAACATTAGCTGACTGTTTACAGGAAGTGTTTAGGAAGGCTGTGCAAGTCACATGCAGGGAGGTGTGACTAGGGTTAATAAATAAAGTGATTTAACTCCTAAGTGGCAAATAATTGAGCATTGAGACTGCAGGGGCATGATCTATACACCAAAACTGTTTCATTAAGCTAAAGTTGTTTGGGTGACTATAGTGTCCCTTTAAACATGTCTGCAGCTGCATAGTATGAGTTAAACAAGTCCAAACTATTGTGGTGGAGAAATTGGTTAAAAATATATAACAATATTGTTATTATATTATTATATTACTATATAATATTACATTATTTTTTCAATTGACAAGGAAAGTACTACTACTAATAATAATTGTTACCAGCAGCTCCAAGGAGCACACAGATCAGAAGAAGCTTCATGCTGGAGGTATGCCTGTGGGGTGTTTTGGGGTAAAATTAAGTCAGTATTTATATATTTTTAACCAGAGTTACGCCTGCCCCCATAGAATGTTATCATATTATGTAACTACTGCACAATCTGGTTAATGTGTACCAGAATTAGAAGTAAGTGCCTTATTATCAATAACCTTGAATTTAAACTTTTTCCAATACAGTCAATATGTTCTGCTTGTGCTTTTTTTTTGTCTACTTAATCTTTTCTATTAAAACAAACTAAAAAGGAAAATAAAAATAGAGAGCTTGTACCATCTAGCAGGATATTTCAGATTTTCCTAAATGGAATGGAGATTGTTTGGGATTAATTGCTGTTAAATACTTAAGAGAAGAAGAAAACATTGTACCCCACTTGTTTAATACTTCAGATAGGTCAGAACAGCTTTACTCCTCTTTGGAGAGATGTTATCTGTAGTATCTGTATAGATACAGCACATTACTTGTCTATTGGGCCAACTTTACCCAATTTCTAATCTCTACTTGGAGAACATTTCTATCTATGTGTAAGATCAAGATGAATATTGTAACACTGCACTGAACAAATATTTTACCAGACCATTAGTCCCATACAGGGCCGGTGCAAGGATTTTTGCCGCCCTAGGCAAAAGTAAAGTTTGCTGCTCCCCCCCATGTGACATCACAATGGCCTACCCATATGATCTGCCATGTTAACTAACGCCAGTGCTGCAGTACCACCGTATTTACATTAAAAGGCCTGCAGGGACAGGCTATAGACACCAGAACCACTACATTAAGCTGCAGTGGTTCTGGGGACTTAAGTGTTTATTTAATGTGAGGAAAATTAGAGATTAGTGCCATGAATAATATATTAGATTGCCTACTTATAACCAGATGAGGATGATGATGGGCTCTAGCTGCAGTCTGGCTCCACTGGTCTGGTGTAGAACAGGCTCTCTGGAGGCGGTTTGTAACTGTGGTCATAAAAATCAATGTTCTGGGATAACGGGTAAGAGCTCCATTTTTTGTGGGCCCTTTACACAGCTCAAGGTCTGGGTCCCAGGGTCCACCTTCACGTTCCACCAATGAGTTTGTTTACAGGGGGTGGAGTGTGTAGGGGATTTCCTGATATGTGTGTAAGGGATGCATTGTGTGAATCTGTGTTTGTATGTGTAAGGGCTGCAAGGTGTGTTTCTGTGTATTTACGGGATGCACTGTGTGTGTCTGTAAGGGATGCATTGAGCGTGTGTAAGGGGTGCATTGAGTGTGTGTAATGAATGCATTGTGTGTTTCTGTGTGTGTAAGGGATGCATTGTGTGTAAGGGTTGCATTGCTTGTGTCTGTGTGTGTAATGCATTGTGTGTGTAATGCATTGTATGTGATTGTGTGTGTGTGATGGATGCAGGGCCGGTGCAAGGATTTTTGCCGCCCTAGGCAAAAGTAAAGTTTGCCGCCCCCCCCCTGACATCACAATACCCCACCCATATGACCTGCCATGTTAACTAACGCTAGTGCTGCAGTGCCGCTGTATTTACATTAAAAGGCCTGCAGGGACAGGCTATAGACACCAGAACCACTACATTAAGCTGCAGTGGTTCTGGGGACTATAGTGTTTCTTTAATGTGAGGTAAATTAGAGATTAGTGCCACGAATAGTATAGTAGATTACCTACTTACAAGCAGATGAGGATGATGATGGGCTCTAGCTGCAGTCTGGCTCCACTAGTCTGGTGTATAACAGGATCTCTGGAGGCTGTTTGTAACTGTGGTCACAAAAATCAATGTTCTGGGAGAACGAGAAGCAGCTCCATTTTTTGGGGGCCCTTTACACAGCTCAAGGTCTGGGTCCCAGGGTCCACCTTCATGTTCCACCAATGAGTTTGTTCACAGGGGGTGGAGTGTGTAGGGGATGTCCTGATTTGTGTGTAAGGAATGCATTGTGTGAATCTGTGTTTGTATGTGTAAGGGCTGCAAGGTGTGTTTCTGTGTATGTAAGGGATGAAGTGTGTGAGTCTGTAAGTCTGTAAGGGGTGCTTTGAGTGTGTTTAAGGGGTGCATTGAGTGTGTGTAAGGAATGCATTGTGTGTTTCTGTGTGTGTAAGGGATGCATTGTGTGTAAGGGTTGCATTGCGTGTGTGTGTGTAATGCATTGTGTGTGTAATGCATTGTGTGTTTTTCTGTGTGCAAGGGGTTCATTGTCTTTGTGTGTAAGGGGAGCATTGTGTGTGATTGTGTGTGTGTGTATGTGTGTGATGGATGTCAATCTCTCCCCCCTCCCTTGTCACTCTCTTCTCCCCCCCTCCCTTGTTACTCTCATTCCCCCTCCCTCCCCTGTCACTCCCCCCTCCCTGTCAATTTCTCTCTCCCCGTCAATTCCCCTCCCTGTCAATGTCTCCCCCCC